TATCCAGTTCTGTCACAAAAGAGCGGTTCTGCGCATTCCTTAGTTTTGTTTTTGTTGTTGCTTTTTTTAATCAAAGGAAGGAAATGAACACATAACGATCTCAGAGTTTTAACATTGATAAAAATGACATCTGACCCTCTTCTCCTTGGCTTTGAAGTAGCCTTTCCTAGTGTCTCCTGAGGGAGCCACGCCTGCAGCCGCCCTTATTGTGGCTGCATTATGGCTTTTCCAGCAGCTGCTGTGGTTTTTGAATTGCTTGTTTTAGTATTTTTGTTATAAATTAATATCTGCATTTTAAAATGCACACCCACTCCCTCAAAATAACTTTTTCCAGCTTGTCATGTTGATGGTAGTGAAATAAAAGATTAAGTGCTTTGGAAGCTTCATTTAGCAGCGATGCTTGAATCTGGCAACAGAATGATGTTTATTCTTGCTTCCTTTTTACTAGTTTAGTACAGTAAGAAAATCTTATCTGTTAATGCCTTTCAGAATGGTAGTTTGGGTGTGTGTTTGGTTTTCACTGGATTAATATAGGAAGTGGGACAGTTTTGTCGCCATTCAGATAGGGAGCGTGGGGGGCCTTTAGTGAAGACCTGGGAGAGTTTTGGGTGTGGGAACCCAGGAAAGAGATTCTGAAGAATCCAGATTTTGATTTTGTTTTTTTATGAAAGTGATTACAAAAATAGGCCTTGCAGCATTTTGGAATTTGACTCTCTTTATTAGAAAGCCGTTTCCTCACAGCAACCTTAACTGCTGAGCCTCCCCTGCTGTTCCTCCAGCCCCTCCCTGCTCTCTCTGCTCCTTCCCATCAATGTCCTCCCTCCACTTCTCTCTTCTGATCCCTCCCTGGTGTCTTCCTGATCTCCAGACTTGCTGCCCTGACCTGCCTGCCCAGAGCACTTCCTCTCTGAGCCTCAAGTCCTGTCCCCTGACCTAGGAAGATTTTCATGCCCAGAGCAGAGCATCTGCCTCTCAGCCCCACCGTCTCCTCATGGAACTTCTGGGTCCTTTCTCTGCTTTCCCTCTGCTTCCCTAATTTTTTTCCTTGTAAGTAGGATTTTATAGTTTCACACCCCTTTTCTTCCTTGGAGCTCTAGGATGTCACAGACCTGGCTTGTACTGTTCCTTGCCTTCCACTCATTTTCATTAGCTGCCTACTAGATGAGAGCACTTGGGTTTCTCCCAGCTTAGTCTCCCCCTCCTTTTCATCCTTTTCTCTCACCGCCTTCCCCGTCACTCAGGCTCAAAAACAATCACTTCTCACATGCCCACTTCATCCCCCACCTTCTACTCCACCCAGCCTAATCCATGCCTGCCACCCAGCGACTGGTCAAGTTTAATGTCCTCAGACAACTGTCATGGCCTCCTAACTGGTTCCTCCCCAACCCAGCCCATCTTCTATTCTGTGCAACTGCCGGATTCCACATTCTGGCATTTCCCTTTCTGGAACCTTGGTGCCCCACTGTCTGCAGCAGCACTGCCTGCAGAGTAGGGCGTCAGCCACTTAGGCAATTTAAACTTTTCTAATGGCCACAGCACAGTAAATCAGTAGAAAGTATGTGAGAGTAAGATTTTATTTTATCCAGTATATCCAAAATATTATTTCAACATATAGTGTAATCAGTATAAAGATATGAATACTCTAGTTTCCATAATTTCTAGTCTTAAGAATCCATTGTGTATTTACTCTCACGGCACAGTTCACTCAGATCGGTCACATTTCAAGTGCTTGGGCAGCACAGCGCTTCAAGGTCATCGTCTGAGCCCCTTAGCCTGGGACCTGATGGCCTTGAGTCCCAGTTCACGATTTTAGACCGAATTCCCTGCCCCTGCCTGGGTGCTCCAGCCAGAACAGGTGCTGCGCTTTCCTTTCTCCCAGTACACCGCCCCCCCCCCCCCCCCCCGCCCCGACTCTTCTCTTCTCTCTCTGGGATGTCCAGTGCCTGCCTTGATCCTGCCTCAGCATCCTTGTAGGTGCTGTTCCCTGTGCAAGGATGCCATTCCCTGTATCCTCTCAGCCTGCTGTCTGCCATCCTCACTGTCCACACGTACAGCCGCCCTCACTGCCACCGAAAGGCTTTTATGGGCTCTTCAGTTTGAGATTGAAATCACTGGAGTTCCTCCCCGCCCTCACTTTATTGCAACCCCCCCCCCCCCCCCCCGTGGCTTATTCTGCACAGCACTCATTACCATCAGGTCTTGTATATTTCACTATCTTCTTATCCCACTTGAAGATAAATTCCATGCCAGAAGGGGTGTCTGTCTGTTTAATCAGTGTGGATAATACAGCAGTGATACCTACCTTCCTATGGGGAAATGGATGCTCCTACTTACACTGCTGATGGAAGTAGAATTGTCTTCCATGGGAGATAATTTGGCGATATCTATAAAAATTATAAACGCATATACCTTTTGACCCAGCTATTCCACTGGGACTTTACCCTGCAGGTATATTCATATCAGGTGTACCGGTTAATAATGTGGATTTTATAATCAAAGAAAACACGATAATTTCAAGAGAAACATCAAAAGTGCTTTACTCAAAGTAATGTCTATCACTAGCTACATATTTCCCTCATCTTTCAAGTAATTTGTGGATACCGCCCCAATAGAACTTTTCTTGATTTGAGGCAAACCATTCAGAGACCCAATTTTCCACTTCTTTGTATGTTTTGTAGTGCTGCTCAGAAAGTGCATGTGCCATCAATCAGAACAAGTGGTAATCTGAAGGAGCAAGGTCTGGTGAATACAGCGGGTGGGTTAATACTTCCCAGGCAAGATCTTTTAACGTGTCTTTAACTGTTTTGAAGTGTGTGATGGTGCGTTATCATGAAGCAACATTACTTTGCTGTATCTTCTGCCCCATTCTGGTCGTTTCACGATCAAAGCATGGTTCAAATTGATTATTTGTTCTCTGTAGCGATCAGTATTAATGGTGTCACCTGGTTTTAGAAGCTCATAATACATCATACCTTCCTGATCCCACCAAATGCAGAGCATTGTTTTCTATCTGAAGCGATTTTGGCTTTATAGTCGATGTTGATGGTTGACCTGGATCAACCCATGATTTTGTGCATTTGGGATTCTCAAAATAAATCCATTTTTCATCGCCAGTCACAATTGGATGCAAAAAGACTTTCTTTAATGCCGCTGAATAACATTTTACTGATGACTTTTTGGTTTTCCATTTGTCTTTCATTCAATTGACGTGGCACCCATTTTCCTTCCTTTAAAATCTTTCCCATTGCTTGTAAACGATCAGAAGTTGTTTGCTGAGCAATGTTTAATCTTTCTGCAGGTTGTTTTTGAGTTTGACAGACATCTTCATCCAATAATGCTTGTAATTATTGGTCTTCAAACTTTTTCAGTTGACCTGGACGTTCTTTGTCTTTCACATAGAAATCATCACTCTTAAAGCATTTAAACCAGCATACACAAGTATCTTGAGATGGAGCATGTTCACCATAAGCTTCCCGAAGTATACGGTAACTTTCAGCAGCACGTTTCTTCAAAATAAAGTAATGAATTAAAACTTCCCGCAAATGCTCTTTTTTTGGGCACAAAATTTGACATTTTTAAGCATAAAAATATCTATGATGTTAACACCTTTAGAAAATTTTACATATGAAGTTTTGAAGCTTGTTGTCAATACAACAAAATAGCATACATATCAAATTGCATATATATCAACATATGTGTAACTCCATCTATTGAAAAAAATCCACATTATTAACCGGTACACCTGGTACATGTGAAAACTGCCCTATGTACAAGGGTGTTATTGCTACACTACAGGCCCGGTGCATGAATTCATGCACAAGCAGGCTGAAACCGGCTCTCTGACATCCCCCCGAATGGTCCCGGAATGTGAGAAGGCACAGGCCAGGCCGAGGGACCCCAGCGGTGCACGATTGGGGCCGGGCGGGACGCAGGAGGTTGACCAGCCAGGGAGGGACCGCGGGAGGGCTCCAGGGTGTGTCTGGCCAATCTCGCTCAGTCCTGATCCTGATCGGCTGGACCCCAGCAGCAAGCTAACCTATCGGTTGGAGCGTCTGCCCCCGGTGGTCAGTGCACATCATAGCGACTGGTCAACCAGTCGACTGTCTGCCTCCTGATGGTCAGTGCTCGTCATAGTGAGCAGTTGAGCGGCCTTAGCATATCATTAGCATATTATGCTTTGATTGGTTGAACGGACAACTGGACACTTAGCACATTAGGTTTTTATTATATACTAGAGGCCCAGTGTGCATGAAATCGTGCGCGGTTAAGGTCCCTAAGCCTAGCCTGTCCTCCCTCGCATGGCCTCTGCTGCCCTGCGATGCTATGTGAAGCTCCCTGCCCCGGGACGCTCTGCAATGCTCGTGGCCCCTCAACTGCTCCGCAAGGCTCTCCCTGCCCCTCGACTGCTCTGCGAAGCTTGCCGCTTGTGAAACTCCCACTGCTCCGTGAGGCTCCGCCCACCCTGCGACTATTCTGCGAAATTCCCCCGCCCCGCAACTGCTTTGAGAAACTGCTCCACTAAGTCGACAGCCACCGCGCGCGAAGCAGCCTGCGAAGCAGCCTGCCACCGTTGCTCAACAGTCCCCAGTCCTGCCCAACCGCCAGCCCCCCCTTGTGGTGAGCGCCTCGGGCCTGGGGCAGGGGGAACCGAGAGGTGCTCCATGCACTTCATGGTGACTGGTTGCCTGTTCGGTCATGGCGGCACTTAGCTCTTTATATATGTTAGGATAAATGCCTGCCAGCCAGGGACTCTTAAACTATAGTATACTCATGTAATTGCATACTCTGCAGCGTGAAAAAGCTGTTTTTGTGCCCATGCAGGCAGATGTGCAGAAGTCTCTGGATGAGAAGGCAGGGGTGCAGACCGTGCATGGTGTGTTCTCGCATGAAAAACGAGGGTGCGTGGGTTCATATGCTTGTCCACGCATGAGGGCACTGGACAGAGAAGCAAGAAGCTGCTAGGAGTGACAGGCCGATGTGAGTGAGGCTCCTACTGTACGTTTTATATGAATTATGAATGTATTATCTAATAAAGAAATGAAAGCTAGCCTTGCAGGCTATTGTAAAGACTAAAGAGCATGTACAGAGCTTGGGCCTGGGCCTGCATGCACAGTAGGTTCTCCATACTTGTCCCTGTGCTTGAGCACACAAACAGGCAGGGTTGGACCCGTGGTCATTTTACCGTTTTGGTTTGCAGTTGCTTAAACTGGCATGCCTGATGCACAAGCGCTGGAGTGTGCACAGGTGCCCACAGGACACAGAATGTGGGCTCAGGTTTTTGTCCGTGAGGTACAGTGACATGTCCATGTACAGTAGTCACAGTGAGCTCCTTAATATAGAACGAAGCCCTTCACTATGCTTGTCCTCCCAGTAGCACCTAGTGTATGATGGGGCTGTAGCTATCCTTCATACCTCAGAGTTGCAGAGCAGCATGGTTCTTACTTGACAGTATTGTAATTTAAAGTTCTAATGGAATTATGTTGTGTTTGTTTAAGACAAGAGTAAAATCTTCTCCTAACCATAGTGCTAGAAGTTTTTATGTCTGTCCTTAGCCCTGGCTGGTTTGGCTCATTGGTTAGAGTATGGGCCCCAGATTGAAGGGTAGAGGGTTCCATTCCAGGTTAAAGGCATGTACCTGGCTGCAGGTTCCCCAGCCCCAGTAGGTGCACGTGCATGAGGCTATCAGTTGCTCGCTCTCTGTCTCTCTCTCTCCCCCTCCCTCCCTCCTCCTTCCTTCTCCTCCTCATCTCTCCCTCTCTTCCCTCCCCTCCACTCTCTCTAGAAATCAATGGACAAAATATGCTTGGGTGAGATTAAAGAAAAAGTTGCACTTGTGATGGAGTGACGGTAGCGTGATCGTGGGAAAACAGGTTTGACTTGGTTGTGGTGACATGGGAGGTGCTGGGCCGCCTGACCGAGCCACCCATGGCGGGTGAGAAGTGGCCACCCTTAGACTTTGGGCTAGCAGCCCAGTCACCTTTATGGGGTCAGGAATGCTGGAGCAGCCTGGGCCTGATGGGAACAGCAAGGTCTGGCCTGGCCTTGCACGTTCTCTGTGACCTTGTGTGGGTGAAATGGTGACAGGCTTGTGGGAGCCCTGCCGAGCAGCGCTGGCTCTAAGGCCGCATGGTTCGTGTATCTCCTTGAAAACCTCAGGTTTTTAATTTTCTGTAAAAGTGCAGCACACACAGCAGACTGATGAGGGAGAAGGTGCCCTGCTCTTGGCGGGGTTCAGGGGTCCCAGCCAGTGAAGTGAAGGCACCAGTTGCTAGAGGGGTGGCTTCAGAGGGTGTTTGGCAATAGGAGTCTGAGAATTTGGGGACTTCTGGATTGTTGCTGCTAATGTGATTTGGGGCATGGCCACCCTGTGGGGGCTGCTGGGCCTATGGCCTCCAGCTCTGCAGGCAGGGAAGGTGCTGTGCCTTCGGGTGGATTTTACTTTGGGCCTTTTCTTGGTTTGAGAGGCAAGACTCTCCTAATCTGTGCCTGTTAAAGGAATGGTTGGTCAGTGGACCAGTAGTGAGCAGAGAGTAGAGGGGCCGTGATCAGGCCCATACTCTTGAACTAGTCACCTACCTGTCCTTTTTTTTTTTTTCCTTTAAATTCTTTATTACCTGTTTCTTTAACACCACTGTGTTCCAGAGGAGATATGGAAGGATTGCCTATAAAGGGACTCACAGGACAGCGGCCCCAAGGAGGAAGTCTCTGCTCCAGGGCCGCGGTGGAGCCGGGGTGTGTGTGTTGAAGTCCTGTGTGCTGCTGGCAGGGGCCTCTCCACCTGGGAACAGCTCAGGCAGGGGCAGGTGTAGTCCGCTCATGACTGACAGTGAGCTAAAACTCGAGGCCAGCACTGCGAGGTTCCCTGGATCCTCACAGAGGACGCTGTGTAGGTGCAGTGACTCGTAGATCCTGACTCTCCTAGTGGGAGAAATGTCAAGTGCTCAGGGGCTGTCCCTCTCCGGTGTGTCCCAGCGCCTGGCACAGTGAGTGCTGAATAACCAGCTCCCTCTGTGAAGGCCAGTGGCCTCACACCCAAGTGCAGTTCTAGAAAGTCATTGTTCAAGCGGCCAGAATGCTCTTCATGGGCCTGGTCGGCCACGGGAGAGTGTGACATGTCCGGGTGACTTGTCCCTTGTCACCGAGCAGCAGACAGCTTTCTTGCTGGAACATAGACCGTTAAGCTCCCCATTGTGATAATGTGTTCTCCTTTGTCTTCACAGAGACTAATAGACAAGTCACGAGTAACCTGTGTCAAATGGGTTCCCGGTTCGGAAAGCCTTTTCCTAGTAGCCCATTCGAGTGGGAACATGTACCTGTATAATGTGGAGCACTCTTGTGGCACCACAGCCCCCCACTACCAGCTCCTGAAGCAGGGCGAGAGCTTCGCCGTGCACACTTGCAAGAGCAAATCCACGAGGAACCCTCTCCTCAAGTGGACGGTGGGCGAGGGGGCCCTCAACGAATTTGCTTTCTCCCCAGATGGCAAGTTCTTGGCGTGCGTGAGCCAGGACGGGTTTCTGCGGGTGTTCAACTTTGACTCTGTGGAGCTGCACGGCACCATGAAAAGCTACTTTGGAGGCTTGCTGTGCGTGTGCTGGAGCCCGGACGGCAAGTACATCGTCACGGGGGGCGAGGATGATCTGGTGACAGTCTGGTCTTTTATAGACGGCCGAGTGATAGCTCGAGGCCACGGGCACAAGTCCTGGGTCAGCGTGGTGGCGTTTGACCCCTACACCACGAGTGTAGAAGAAAGCGACCCTATGGAGTTCAGTGGCAGTGACGAGGACTTCCAGGACCTGCTCCACTTTGGCAGAGACCGAGCAAACAGTACCCAGTCCAGGCTGTCCAAGCGGAATTCCACGGAGAGCCGCCCCGTCAGTGTCACGTATCGGTTTGGCTCTGTGGGCCAGGACACGCAGCTCTGCTTGTGGGACCTCACGGAAGATATCCTTTTCCCTCACCAGCCCCTCTCCAGGGCACGGACACACACAAATGTCATGAATGCCACAAGCCCTCCAGCCGGGAGCACTGGGAACAGCGTCTCGACGCCTGGCAGCTCTGCGCCCCCCCCTCTACCGCGGTCCAATAGCCTCCCACATTCCACTGTCTCCAACGCTGGCAGCAAGAGCAACGTTGCCGATGGGGCCATCGCGTCTGGGGTCAGCAAATTCGCAACACTCTCCCTACACGATCGGAAGGACCGGCACCACGAGAAAGATCACAAGCGAAACCATAGCATGGGACACATTTCTAGCAAGAGCAGTGACAAACTGAACCTAGTTACCAAAACCAAAACGGACCCAGCTAAAACTCTGGGCACGCCCCTGTGTCCTCGAATGGAAGACGTTCCCTTGTTAGAGCCGCTCATCTGTAAAAAGATAGCACACGAAAGGCTGACTGTGTTGATTTTTCTTGAAGACTGTGTAGTCACTGCTTGTCAGGAGGGGTTTGTTTGCACATGGGGAAGGCCTGGGAAAGTGGTAAGTTTGAATCCTTAACGCTGCACCAGACCGAGAACTTGAGTAGGTAGTGATTTTTTTCCTTGTGGGAGGGGTGGGTGTACAATGAATGAATGACACTTCTTAATGTAAATCTAAATGCATCAGAGCCATACTTTTGGATACTGCATGCCATGTAATTCTGAATCATTTGATAATTCACCTTAGAACGTTTAAAAAATATAATCAAACTAATTGCCAGCCAAGTCCGTCACCCTCCTGGGAGTATATAGAGTCCCGAGGTGAGCGCTCCTGTCTTAGACTATTTCGATTTTAGGAAAATCATGACAGTGTGGGGAAACAATGAATTAAAAAGCTAAAATTAAAATTTCTGCTTTAACTGGAATATTTTTGCTTAACTACTCAGTTAGAAAATTGTACACCTGATCAGAGCGTGCTCAGCGCGGACGGCCACTGACTGTCATTTATAGTCCAGTTTTTTATCTTAATCATAAAATGTTTAGGAATCTATGAAATTTAACTTTAGGAACAAAGCGTTCAGCAGGGTTGATTGATATTATTTTTACATTGTTCTGGCAATCCACAGAAAGAGAAGAGCCTTAATTTTTAAAACCCATTTTAGTCATTTTATGACAATTAAAATTGTTTAATAAACATCTTTTTTCAAAGAAGCAGTTTGTACCACTTTGATTGAGATTCTGTGCACTAAATAAAATACCCACGTTCCTCAAGCCTGGGCGGTTCCTGTGAACTGCGGGCCGAGGTTGCCCACCGCACGTGTCAGAAGTGCCTCTTGCCACGGAAGCCAAGACCTTTTCTGTCCAGTGCGCTTTTGCTTGTTTTTTTTTCCAACAAGAAAAAAGAGGTTTCATTTTCTTTTGTTTTGGGGCAGGTTTTGTTTTGTTTTTATTTCTTGGGGGTTTTTTTTTGGTCACGAAGGCTCACGATTGTAGGCCCTGGGCAGCCTCTTTAGCTTTGTTTTGTACAAACTGACAGACCCTCCCCATCCCTTTCACACACACACACACACCCCGTAGTCCGGGTTTGGTTTTCACCTAGAGGGGAAGTCCAATTACAGAGTGCCCCCTTATTGTTGGATGGTGGTCCTTCCAGGGTCCTTCTTGGGATGCTGATACTAGCCTGGCCCTCAGGCTTCCATCCCAGCACCTCACCCTGGGCCCAGGTGCCCACTGGATGGACCCGCTGCTCCCATGGGAAATTGCAGTGTTTGATTCTGACTCCCTATGACCCTTCTCAGCTGTGTAGGAGTTTCAAATCCCAGCTTTCACACGATGCGATGGTTCTTTGAACTCTGTGTTTTATGTCAAGATGACGATTATCTGGTTTGTTAACTTATTTTGGTCATTTAGGTTTGTTCTATTTTGCACACTTTTGTAATTAAATATAGCGATGCTGATAACATATGCTGGTTTGAGTAGTGAATGCCATTCAGCGAAGTGAAGATCTGGATGTTCAGCTCTCTGATGTGTGAGGCTCTGTGCGCTCTCAGTGCGCCCTCCCAGCAAGGCCCACCCACACCTCACCCGTCATGCTCCGTAACGCGAGTGGTGTCTGTCACCTGTGGTCGCAGTGGCCGAGTTCTGCTACAGGAGGTCCTGGGTGGCCTTCAAGGGGCACCTCCTCCATTGATGCATTACAGCCCGTGAGAATGATGACATGCTCTCTACCGACTGTTAGACATGGCCCTTTGTTCCTAAATGCTCATGTTCTAAGGTAGCGGCCCATGAACCGTCAACTTTGGAGTCTGCCAGATGGAGAGATTAGGAACCAACACTCCATGTGCAGTTTTATGTTCCTACCTAGTTTTAGAAATTCCGTTTCAAAGGCTTCTGAGGCATTGAGAAGTTTCAAAACCCAGGACTTTGTATTTGGCCTAAGTGGAGAGTGACTGCTCCCAGGTGAGTGGCCTTTATGGGGAAGGTTACGATGCCCTTGCAGTTCTCTTGCACTGCTCACTGCATGACTCACACTTGACACTGGGCGCTTTCTGGTTCTTCCTGCCCTTCAGCATCCTCAGCTGCACCGGCTGCAGTAAAGGAGGGGCTGCTGGTGCACTGACAGGTGACCTACCTAAGAGACATTTGGGTGAGGGTAAGAGGAGGATATTGTTCCTTTTAAAAACTCCAACATGTGCACACAGGAGCCAGTGGTGCCTGTCTCTTCCACCCCTCACCCTGCCAGGGCTCCTGTCCATTTCTCATTCTTCCAGTTTCTGCTGGTGTGGGGATCCTATCTGCCTGTCTGGGAGGCTGCCTGGGGCCCCTGCTGGGTGTCAGGTGCTGGGGAGGCGCAGGCTTCCGCTCCTCTGACACCTGCCCCCTCTTTGACAGCCAGCAGAGCCCCTCTCCTGCAGGCGGGAGGACCAGCTTGAGGAGAAGAGGGTGCTGCACGGGGCAGGCAGTTCCTCCCATTCCCCTCAGACCGGGCCGGTACTGGCTCTTGTGGACCTGGGTGGGACAAGAGGGGCAGGAGGGGAGGGGACTGGAGTGGTGGGTCCTGACCAGGTGGATGAGGCACTAAGAGAAATCTGGGGAGTTTTTCAGTTTTCTCTCCCAAATTTGAGCTTCCTCAGTGAAATTTGTCAATTTCCAACTTAAACATTGTCTTGAGCAGGAAAGTCCTTTCTCAACCTGCCCTCTGCAATAAAAGCCATGGGCAAGAAGAGGCGTTACCACTCGGTCAGCAAGCTCCTCTGGAGAGCAGGGACGCAAGTAAGGCCCAGGGGCTCCAGCTGGCTCCCTCCTGGCTGCTGCTGGACGGCCAGCCAGCCAGCCTTCGCTGAGGCAGCTCTGGCCCTACTGATGGGGCAGGGCCGGATGATTCAAAATCCCCCGAGGGCTAGAGACACAGCCTGTGGAAAGCCTTGCCTTGTTTTAAAAGCAAGTGTGTAAGAGGGAATAGGCAGCCACTTTTAAATAACCAGTAACTTTAGGTTCTAAATTTACTTAAATAGTGGTTAAGAATCTTAATTTTGTCTTTTGTGCCAAGTGAACCTTCTGGCATTTCTGAGTGTTCTCCTGTGAGCCATTGGCTTGGGACTAAGAAGAGTAAATGCCTTAGGATAGTGGGATGGACGAGTGGAAAGACCAATAAGTCACAGCAGAGATTATTGCCTCAGATATTCAGAAACCACAAGGAGCCCCATGGCACTTCCCAGGTCCTGCAGGCACGTGTGGGTGTCCCTCCCAGGGGACCCGAGCTCGGCTCCCGCCAAGTCCCAGATGGCTGGTAGCCAGGAAGCCATTTCTCCCTTATTCCTCCACGTCCAGGGTTGCCTCTTGAATTTGTAAGAAATTGTCAAGTTTCGAATTCGTACTGCAGTCCATGAGGCCGCTTTATCAGGTGGCTGTGCCTGTGTACAAGGGTCATGTCACCTCTTGCCTGGGAGGGAGATGTGATCTGTTTGTTAAGGAAGCTCAAGGGGTGAGGGGGCAGCCATAGGGGCAGGGAGGGCGTGGGAACCGGGTGCCCCATGTTGTGTTTCTGACTGCCTGAGAAAGAGCTAAAAGCAGAGTTCGACTTGGGGTTTTGCAGGAAAGATGCGGGAGAGCTTGGCCATGGGACTGGTGTGTGGGGGGGACCAGCGGAAGCAGTGGGCCTTGTGTCCACAGTGGGGGTTTCCTTCCTCATAGGCAGGAAGGAAGGAGCCTCTGTGTGCCCGGGTGTGACCCGGGGCCGAGCGGCACACCTGCCATCATGGGCTCAGCAGTCTGGGAAGTGGAGGCCAGGACTGCAAAAAAGCACTTGTATTCAGCTGCTCCCCTCCCAACCCAGAGCCCGGCTCCCACGTGGGAACACGCCCCTTGTGGAGGAAGCCGTCCACAGGCATTGACTTCACCCGTCGCTGCATCTGTTACATGATGTTTGTGTCATAAATAGCTGTCTCTCCATTGAAAAGTGTAAAAGTTTTTGCATATTTTATTTCTGTATACCTAAGTTTATTAAAGATTATGTTAGGTGACACTGTATAAAATTGTATGAATATTTATTTTTAGTGAAAATCAAAAGTAAAATTTGTTTGTATTTCCTTTTTTTATATTTTCATCTAATTTCTTGACAACTTGAATAAATTTCACAAAGAGCCTTCCTAACATGAAATGCTGGTAAATTCAGTTCTTCACTGTTGCAGTAATGAATAGCGCTTTAGAATCAGTGTTGTTACTTTATCATTTTAAGAAAACCATGTTCGTGTCCCTGCCTTGGTTTTCGCTGTCCCCATCTCACCGTGACAGCGAGAGACTGACGCACTGGACGTTCGGAAGGACTGCGGGGTTGCCTTTGGGACTGACGTTGAATAAATGTGTGAATGAATTATAAATGTAGATAATTTTCACTGTCACTTTGACAGCTAAGCTTTATGAAACCTCAGTGACCATGCTGTAAAAGTAAGGGCCTCGGTAATGTTTGTGGACCAAGCGGACACAGGAATGGCTACCTCTTGTCACTGCTGCTGTTTCTCGTGACTAGAAACTTGGTTCCGAGTATCAGAGGTCGTGGGTGTCCTATGTGGGGAAGGACGGTGGACTGACCTCAGCCAGCTGTGGAGCAGGCCCACTTCAGGACACAGGGCGTCCTGGGCCGCCAGCGCTGTGCTGAGCACAGAGGTCGGCCCCCAGCACTCTATTCAGCGCCCCCTCGCCCCCTCCGCCAGCAGCGGGGAGAGTGGGGGAACCTGGCTGCTGCTGCAGGAGCGCTTTTCCTGGGAGAGTGCAGTTCCCTCAAGGCTCTGGATCTGGAACCAAACGCTGGAGTTGTCCTGCCTGAGGCTGCAGCACAGGAAGAGCTTCCTGTAGGGGAAGAAGGAGCCGTTTGTGGTGTGCTGCTGTGAAATGTCCCTCCAGTCACGTGATCTGAGCAGCACCCTGGCACCTCTGTCTCTGAGTGCTTCAAGGCAAGAGGCCCAGGCGTAGACTGCTGGTCCCCAGAGGGCGGGGGAAGTAAAGGTGAGATGGCCCCTGGGCAGGGCCTGGTGCCCCCATCGTCCTGTCAAGTCCCTGCTGTGTCCTGAGATGCCTGGGCCTGGAGCACAGCTGGCAAGGCTGTTGGCAGGGAGCTCCCTGCTGTCTGCCTCCCCTCCAGGTGGGCAGCCTCATCTCAGCGGCTCCAGAGGCTTCCTGCCACCGACCTCCGGGCCTTCAGCACTCCTGCCTTCAACTCCCAAGCTGCCAGGCACGGCCAGACGTTGCGCCCTCGGAGTGCCCTGCTCGGACCCCCATCACAGGAGCAGGTACCGTTCCTTGGCACGGAGTCGGTTGTGAGCCCTTCACACTGCTAGGTCTGCAGCAAGTTCAGAAGGACACACACTTTCTATCCTTAAAAATAGTTCGTACTAGTTACATAACTAGAAAAATATAAGCCCATTCTCCCATGTGTGGCTGCCTGTCGATAAAACAGCTGGCTCTGGACCTGTGCACCTCCTGAAAGAGGCCCTTAGTGTCGGCCTCGAAACCAGCCTCTCCGTGGTTTCAGGTGGAGGCCAGCCTGGGACTCCAGAAGGGCCTCGAGCTAGGAAGGCTTTTGGAGGACCCAGGAGGGGTTCGTCCCTCCTGCCCGCTGAGCAGAGAGGTTTCAGAGCCGTACTTGGCCACACGGTTCTCAGAGAGTACAAAGAATTTGAATGAGCCCGGCCAGTGTGGCTCAGTGGTTGAGCGTAGACCCATGAACCAGGAGGTCGTGGTTCAATTCCCAGTTAAGGCACAGACCCAGGCTGAGGCTCAATCCCCAGTACGGGGCTTGCAGGGGGCAGCCCATCAATGATTCTCATCTTCGATGTTTCCATCTCTCCCTCTCCCTCTCTAAAAATCAATAAAAACATTTTTAAATAAATACATAAAAATAAGTGCTGCTAAACTCTGTCATTGGAGGGGCCTGCCTCTGAGGGGCGGGGCGTGCAGTACTCTGGGGCCCTGAGCTGTGGCCCTTGGGGAAAGGTGGGGAAGGGCCCCCCTGGCAGGTGCCCCTCACCTTAAGGCCAGTGATGTCCCAAGGAACCCAGGCCCTGAGAGCCCACATTGTCCCCCAGCCAACTGGCCCAAAATCCAGGCAGAGCTGGGTTCCGTGGGTTCTGGTTCCAACCAGGCAGGAATGTCAGGAAGGATCTGGACAGAATTCAATAGGCGAACGTGGAGGATCTGTTACAACACTGGCTCCTAACCAGCAGGAGTCTGTTCCAGTGGCGTCAGACTGCGGAGAGGTGAGTGGCTGGGACCCTCTGAGGGCCGTTTGCTGGATTAGTGTAACCTGTTTTGTTTGCAGGGTTTATCATCATCCCCAAATCAGGCCACTTCCCCCCCCAGGTGGAACTGTAGTGTAGCGACCTACTACTGCTCAGAAACTCTCACCCGGACCGGGTCTCGAGGGAGTATGACGATGCAGGAGCTACGAGCTGCACTTCAGCCACGCATGGGAGGCGGATGTCACCCAAATCATGAGGGGAAGAGTCACTCAGAGCAGGGCTCTTGGTAGGGTGCTCGCTGCGCATCCGAGGAGGTGGTTTCTATTTTAAATCATTCTTTGGGGGCTGCAGTAAAAAATGAGAAATGAGCCCTGGCCAGTGTATCCCAGTGGTTAGAGTATTGGCTCCAGCACCCAAGGGTCACAGGTTTGATTCCCAGTCAAGGGTACATACCTGAGCCACAGGTTGGATCCCCAGCCCAGGTCAGGCACAAAGCAATGTATCTCTCTCACATGGATGTTTCTCTACCTCCCATGGTCCATGCCCCCCCCCCCCCAATGCCCCCATCCCTTCCACTCTCTCTAAAAATCAATGGATAAAATATCCTCAGGTGAAGATTAACCAAAAAAATAAATAGTAAGTGAAGTTTTCCTGCTTTTTACTTTAAGATTCAATGTAATTAAAATCTCACGTATATGTGAAATATATACATGTACACACAGTATAAAAACCCAACTGTCGCCGAAACTGGTTTGGCTCAGTGGATAGAGCGTCGGCCTGCGGACTGAAAGGTCCCAGGTTCGATTCCGGTCAAGGGCATGTACCTAGGTTGCAGGCATATCCCCAGTAGGAGATGTGCAGGAGGCAGCTGATCGATGTTTCTCTCTCATCGATGTTTCTAACTCTCTATCTCTCTCCCTTCCTCTCTGTAAAAAATCAATAAAATATATTTTAAAAAAAAAACCAAAAAAAAAAACACCAACTGTTACAACTGGTACTTGTCTCCTTTTGCAGTCAGCAGCAGTCAGGCTGTCTGCTTCGGCCCCAGCTGTCCCCTCCGGCTGAGCTCAGGAGGCCCCTGCACTCGGCAGGTGCTCAGTAGACAGTGTGGAGTGAGTGAGTTCGACAGGATGGGGGTCGAGGACGTGTGAGACTTCTCCCCTTCTAGAGTTCTGTGGTGACAAGTCAAGTGCTTTGGGAGCCATTTAACAGCATTGCCCAGAAAGGCTTCAATGGCCTCGCCATCCACAAGCTTTCCAGTTTGGAGGGCAGACCTTGCCAGGGCTCTGGCGGCAGCCGAGGGGGCCTCCTATGCCCTAAGCCCTGGCCGGCACCTGCCCACGCGGGGCCCGCAGACAGGCACAGCGCCGGAGCCACTTCAGCTGCCCGGAGACTGGCTGCCCAGACAAGAGCAGGTGGGTGTGAGCGCCCACCACGTAGGAAGCCCAGCTCTCCAGTCTGCGGGAACGTGGACTTGCCTTGTGCACTGATGTTCGAGCCCTGCCGTGGGCCAGGGAGCCACACGGCCCCTCCGTGGAGGCAGGCTTGTGGGGACGTGCCCCTTGGGGCCTGGGGGGCTTCAGAGTTTGTTTATTCCAGAGGCCAAAGGGAACCTAAAGGGCCTTATTTGGTGGACAGCTCTCGTCCTTCTCGGGCCTGGCCTGCCCGGAGCGCCCCCAGCCCACTGTCCCCGCCTGGGCGGCGACTGTTCCAGAGTCAGGGCTGTGGGTTTCCCGAGAAGCAGTATCCACAGAGTTTGCTCTCAGAAAGGTACGCAGAAAACCTTTTCAAATTGGATATACTTAAAGGGGGTAACAGTTTTCCTAAACCCAAATACCTGTTAGTCCTTAAATGTGTGCTGGGAGCCTCTTTGGGACTCAGTGTGGGCCCGCCCACCTTGCAGGTCCCTCCCTCTTCAGCCCTAGCACCTGCTCACACCTCTGGCACATCTCCCTGTCCCTTCCTCGTAGGGCCCAGCACCTCCTGTTTCTGGCCTCCTACCTGTCTGTGAAACTGTGTCCGCTCCCACATGACCCAGAACTCCGCCCTTCCGCCCAGGGCCACGCCCACCGCGCCGTCCCTGAAGCCGCTGCGGTCTCCAGTGGGTCTAAAAAGAAGCTCTTTCCAAACCTTCCCGAGTGAATGTCACCCAGCTCTGAATGTCACTGTCAAGCCTTGAACCGGCCCGCCCTGGGCATCTCTGCCCCACGTGGCCCCACCTGTGTCCATGCTCATGCCCTTCCTTGGCCCCGAGCCTGTAAAATACTGATTCCAATCTGCCCCTCCTGTGGCTGCCACGTCCACCCTCCACAGCCCAGCTGTGCTGTCACTGGTTCAGCTTCATCAGCTGTGAGGTGGTGGCCACAGGGGAGCTCAGAGGGGTGTCAGATCTGTCTTAAAAGAGGGAACAGGAAGATGAAAAATGAGCTCAAGAAATTTGCTTTAAATGTGAGTTGGAGAAGAATGAGAAGAAGGAACACTCAATGATTAGGTTACAATGAACAAAACGGGGGCTCCACAGGGTCTTTGCTCTGCCGGCGGCCGGGCCCACACCCTGCTCTCCAGCGCCACGGGTCTCTGCAGCACCCCCTCCACAGGAACAGGTTCTTCGGTGCCCAGCTTGTTGTTGGCGCCCAGACACTAAGCTCAGTGCCCCCAACCCATCAGGAAGTGGCGTTCTCTCTCACGGGAGCCAGCTGCGCCTCAGGGGCTCAGACGCTGTGGCCACGGGGAAGCCTGCCCACGTGCCCAGCACCACCGCACCAGCTGCGGCTCCCTGGGCAGCACCAGGGCACTGGGCACAGCCCTGGGCTTCCTCTCACGGCTTCCCCAGTGAAACAAAATCAAGCCGCACCCAAGTCTTCCCAAGATCAATCCCCCATCTGTTCACAAAAGCTAAAACAAAGGACTGGGTGGTGACACATTCAGCGCAAATGGTACCACAAGGAAATACTGTGACGAGGGCTATTCTTTAATGAAAGTCCCGTATCCTCATGCAGTCACGTGCTACATGCTCTTGGCGATGTGCTGGAAGCCCACGCAGAGCCCGCGGGGAAGCCAAGCCTAAATAACAAATATAAACTCTAACTTCTGTTTGGAGTCATATAAAAATACAAAAGATTTCCTGTCCCAAAGTCTTGGTTACAAAAGTGAAATGGCACCTTCGAGGGAGGTGGTTTACACGTGTATTAGAGCGGAACAGACAGCTCTGCGCCTTCAGGATGCGAGCAGCGGGGCTGGTGGCCCCAGGCCGTGGTGCCGCTGGCGTGCGGGCTGCGCTCGCTGGCCCGGGGCTGGGAGGACTGAGCCGCACTGACGCTCCGCTCCGAGGGCAGCTGGACGCGCTGCTCAGTATCCCCCGCCTTTCCTTTCTATCGTGGGCAGGTGGTACTGCTTCAGGTTAGGCTTGAGCTCCTTCTGTGCATCTGTCTGAAAAGAAAATGACAGACGTTCAGTGGAGGCCAGGACGGCAGCGGCAGCAGGGCTGAGGGGAGCTAATAAGGCGCTACCTTCTGGTTTGCGCCCCCACACTTCAGGGGTCTCAGCACCGGCACCTTCCCGCTCGCTCCAGGTCTGAACACGGAGTGCAGCGCGGGGCTGGAGTACGAGAGCTTGGTGGCCCCGGACAGCTTCAGCTGCGGCAGCTCCATCAGGTAGGCCGGGCCCTGTCTCCGGGGTCGGCTCTCCTCCTGCTTCAGGGGCTGTTTCTTGAAACAAAACACAGGTCGGCTGAGCACACGGGTGTTGTCTCCACAGAAATCAGGAGAGACAGAAGGCTCTTTGGTGCCACTTCTGCCTAAAGAACTTCTTGACCACGAGGTGCGACTAGACAACAGGTGACCTGGCCACCCCAAAGTGAGGTGGCCCCGCACCCGGAGGCAAGGGGTCCGCACCTCAGGCTGGTGCGTGTGGGTCTGAGCCCTGGTGCAGCCCCGGGGCTGGCCGGCCTGTGCTGGGGCTGAGCCAAGGCCTTGGGGGTGCCTACTGCCGGCTCCCCAGGTCAGCCAAACCTGCTGCCTCCTGCTTTTGTGCGGCTGGGAACTCAGAATGGCTTTTACCTCTTTCGTAGTTGACAATGCTTTCGTGGCATGTGAGAATTGTATGGAATTCAAATGTCAACAGTTGTATGGGAACATAGCCCCACCATTCCTTTAAGCATCGTCCATGCGGGCAGCTGTGACGAGACCTTATGGTTGCAAAGCCTACAGCGCTTGCTCTGTGGCCTCCCAGACACGTGTGGGCCGGGCAGACTGGGAAGTGGGACGGGGCACCCAGAGTCTGGAAAGCAGCCTGGCTGCAGGTGCACATGCGTCCCCACCCCAGCTCATAGTGACACGCAGTAAAAGCAGGGACAAGTGGACATGACGCTGAACAACTGGCAACACTGGGGCTGAGCACTTGGCACATGGCCAGAAGATGAAGGTGCTGCCAAGTGAGGCTGTCGTTTCTAAGCCGCTGTGAGAGACTATCTCTGTGACGGGGTGGACGGGGTGGAGCTCGCCTGGCGCCCAAGGGGCTCATGGCTCTGGCCGAGCAGACGGCATGCTCTGGGCAATCACTGGCGAGCTGGGTCACCTGGGCCCGGTTAGCTCTCTGTGCCCCCCACTGGGTGGGTCTGAGGGCACAGGGAGTGACCCCTGGGCTGGAGGAACCCCAGCGCCCTCGTCTGGCCTGCTCACAGATGTTGTCCTTGACCCTTAGCTAGAGGGGCAGGAAGGGTGGGGCAGCGGAGCCCTCACAGGTGGGGTTCCCCTCAGACACCAGCCACCTGGGGTGTGCAGTCCGCTGCAAGCCAACCCCCCACCCCCCACCCCGCTGCTCGCTGCTCCCGCCGTACCTGCTTGCTGCCCTCCTTGGAAATATGCCATTTGTTACTGAGCAGTTCCGGTGCCGCTTTTCTGTGGCTGCCCCGAGCCTGCTTCTCCGAGGCCCTGCAAGGGGGAAGACGGGCGCCCCACTGAGAACCCGCGCACAGCTGCTGTCCCTGTCTCCAGAGGTGCTTGTCATGGTGCGGTCACTGCTCTACTTTCCACGTGAACTATCTGAGGACTTTTTTCTTTTTTTTCCCCCTGCCCCAGGCCCCCACCCCTGCCCCAGCTTCGAGGTTTGGGTCAGATGTCATCTCCACGGTCACACGCAGGAGTGGACAGAGGTGTGGAGTCGGACAGCTCAGAGCATGTACTTCCAAATCAGGTACGCCCACGTGCTCAGACCTTACAGCGAGTTCAGCGTTTACAATGGTGCAGGCGGGCTCCCGCAATCTTAACAGAGCCCTCCCATGCCCTGCCATGGCGCCGCTAACAGCCCCTTCTGGGAGATATTCCAGAAAAGGATAGAGAGAGCTGTCCAGGGACCCCGCTGGACGGCCCACCACATCCCCCCACCCCCATCTCAGCAGCCAGCACCTGCCCCCAGCCATCCAGACCACCCACCTCTGTTCTTGGAAATAGGGGTGCTGCAGGGCCTGGTGGGCAGTGATTCTCTCGTCAGGATCATAGGCCACCATGGCGTGCAGGAGGGAGAGGCATTGCGGGGACAGATTGGCTGTCTGTAGAGGTATTCCTGATCCCTTTTTAAAAGGAAAATCAAAACTCATAGCTCTCGACCTGTATTAAAAGCCCAATGATAATAAATGATCATGTCATTGTCACGACTCTACAGGGACCTGCACTGGGGGAACAGTCTGTGACTTAAAGGGGCGGAATACACAGGGTCCAAACCCACAGATGGTGCCACCCAAGAGTGGCCCCTCGTGGGAACTGTGGACCTCGGGGGCCAATGCCGGGTCAGGTCAATGCGGCTCATCATTCTAACAGACGCGCCCCTCTGGTGCCGACGGCGGGGAGGCTGTGCGTGCAGGGCAAGCGCTATATGGGAACCTCTGTCCTTTCCCCTCAGCTGTGCTGTGACCCGCAAACTGCTCTCAGGTCTCAGACTTAAAGAAAGGGTGGTGGTGGTGAAACCTGTTATGCTATAAATGCACTCTTCGTCAGAGACTGACGTCACATTTCCAGCTGAGAAGAAGGGAGTAAAGTTTAAAAAAAAAGAAAGAATCCCAAACAGTTGTCGCCTCGCCTTCCCAGGTCTTGAAGCTGCCGGGCGCTGCCACCCTCAGCCCACGGGGCCTCCCTGGGAGCCCACCCCCCGCTGAGCTTCATCTTTGACCAGCACACAATCCTAACGGTCGGGTGTCCGTGTGGGGCAGTGCTGGGGCGGCTGCTCCACGTCCTCCCTGCACGGAGCCGGTGCCGGGGAACCTCATTCACCCAAAGGCCTCCACGTGCTGTGCAAGAGTGTAAATATTCAGCGACAGAACCTCACTGCCAGGCCTCGGCAAGACGGGAGGAACTGTTGGGTGATGCTGGAGGAAGACCATCCCTCTCGGACCCCCAGGGGGCCCCAAGGACTGAGGGCTGCACCGGCAACAGAGGGCAGCCTGGCCCCACCCTCAGTCCCTCCGTGCTGCCAGCCCCGGAGGGGGACAAGGCCACACGGGGCTCTTGGGAGCACGGGGCACTTACTGTTTGAACTTGGTGAGGGTCTTCGCAGCAGGTGTGCCCATGATGTCGTGGATTTTTGAGATCTGGTCCAGCTCATTGGCTCCAGGGAAGAGGGGCTGCAGACTGGAAGAAGGTGACAGGGGCTGTGGTTAGGACAGTCCCTTCATCCTGGCCGTTCCCGACCCCGGAGTCCTGTAACATCCTCCCAAATTAACTCATGGCATTGAATTACCACCAGAGAACGCGTGATCTGCTGGCACTTTCAACGTCAGTGAAATCGCAACTCAGCTTTCAAAAACTAACAATTATTAATATGAATGATCTAGAAAGGTGTGAACACATGCCTGCATTCATGAAGCCGTCGGCTGAGCAGGTGGGAGCGGACCTGGGTCCCTGCCTATGCTGGGCTCTCTGTCTGATGCATCACCCAGACATTAAATGCACCCCGGTCCTTAACAACGCACTGAGCCTGGGGGTGCCCACCCTCTGCGAGGGCTGCTTCCCCCCACACCCGCCTCACCTCCTCCCTTCTTCCCAGGCCACGCCGCCCCCAGCGGTGAAGCCTGAAGGCGGGGCATGGGGCTGGAGGATGGTGAGGACTGGGACACTGCCAGGTGGCCAGAGAATCCTGCTGGATACACCTGCACCTCCAGGGCAGGGCCGGGCCATGCTCACCCCCACCCCACCCCCACACCCTGTCCCCTGCCGGCGGGCCCCACAGGTGGCAGTAAGCATGTTTCCACTCGGTTCCTAGCTTGGTGATCGATCATTTCACTGATGAAGCTGAAAGCACAGGCCCAGGGCTGGGCTGGGAGTGTTCTGTTCCCCATCACCAGCAAGTAAGGAAAAGTGTTGACAAAACACCTTCTGTTAAGTTCAAAGCAGTCACAGCCTCAGGATGACTGAGAAATCGTGCTGTGAAGGAAGGGCCTGGCGTGAGGCCTGCCGTGTGACCGCGTCAGCACGTGTACACAGACGTGCACTGGCCGGAGCGGCCTTCGGACACAGCCGTGCGGCTCTACCTGGTGATCTCGTAGAAGACACAGCCCGCGCTCCACAGGTCCATCTTGTGGCTGTAGAAGCCGTCGGTGAGGAGGCACTCGGGGGCCCGGTACCAGCGGGTGGAGATGTATTCCGTGTACGGCTGCTTAGAATAGACACTCCGGCAGGACCCGAAGTCCCCTAATTTCAGGACATCCTGCTGCAGGGGGGAGAAAAGCGGGGACAAATGACGTCTCATGGAGTCGCCGTTGTAATATAAGCCATCTCAAATGTTTATGCACTAACGGGAAAACGACTAGCATCTAACCTGGCTTGTAAAACGCCAGTTACCCTAACCCTTAATTGTAAAATGCCTCTGACAGGTGAGGAAGTGGTGCTTCTATTCAGGGGAACATGTTTCACAACTGTTTCCCAATGTCTGCAGATCCTGGGAAAAGCTAAGTCCCAGGGTGAGTCTACGAGCGAGTCCCACACCACAGTCAGACGCTCCAGCGCCACCCGGGCAAGTCAGACAGACCAGGGAGACGGGTTTCAGGATATTCCTTCCATTTTCTTCACCCCTCACGTTCAGGTAACAAAACACATGCTGCCAATGACTGCAGCCTCGGGCATGCCAAGGTTGCGGGCTCGATCCCCGGTGGGGGGCATGCAGGAGGCAGCCGATCAATGATTTTCTCTCATCATTGATGTTTCTATCTCTCTCTTCCTCTCTGAAATCAATAAAAAGATATTTAAAAAACAAAATAACCGTGATTCGCCTGTGAAGGGCTCTAATGGAAAAAGTAGACAACATGCAAGTTCAGATGGGAAATGCCGGCAGAGAGATGGAAACTCTAAGAATGAATCACAAGGAAACACTAGAAATTTAATAAAATTAGCAGAAATAAAAAACGTCTTTGCTGGGCTCACCGACAGACCAAACACAGCCAGGGAGAGACTCGGGGAGCTGGGGGACAGGCCAACAGAAACAACCCAAACTGAAGGCAGAGAAAAAAGAATGGAAAAACAGAAGAGAACACCTAACAACTGTGGGACGATTTCAAAGTGAAATAAGCCAGACCAAAAAAGAGTACATGCTATCTAACTCCATTTCTAGAACATTCTAGAAAACGCACACTAATTCTATAATAACAGAAAGTCCGTCACTCTGCTGGCGGGGCGGAGCAGGAGGACACTGTCGGGGTGATGGGCTTGTCCATCAACTGGATTTGTGAGGATGGCGTAGCAGTGATGGCGAACCTATGACACGTGAACTCATTTTTTTGGTTGATTTTTCTGTTAAATGGCATTTAAATATATAAAATAAATATCAAAAATATGTCTTTGTTTTACTATGGTTGCAAATATCAAAAATTTCTATATGTGACACGGCACCAGAGTTAAGTTAGGGTTTTTCAAAATGCTGACACGCCGAGCTCAAAAGGTTTGCCATCACTGGCCTAGTGGCTTTGGAGGGAGACAGACCTGCCGGAATCCTGATTCCTCCACTTTTCTATTTCGAGTGTTTGCAGTGATCATGGGAATGGAGTTTGTTTTTGTACATAGTCTGAGGAGAGTACCTACAATTATTTCCTTCCAGATGTACGGCTATATTGATGACATTTATTAAATAGACCACTTTTCCAAGCTGCATGAGGAGAAAAATCCTATTGCAAGCCTGGTCTCCAGTTACTGGGACTAAAAGCACCAGTGAAAAATCTTACGTTCTAGCCCTGGCCAGTGTGGCTCATGGATAGAGCATCAGCCTGGGGACTGAAGGGTCCCGGGTTCAATTCTGGTCAAGGGCACATGCCCAGGTTGCTGGCTCAATGATTCTCTCTCATTATTGATGTTTCTATCTCTCTCTCCCTCTCCCTTCCTCTCTGAAATCAATAAAAATATATTTTTAAAAAAGTTTTACAGTCTACCTTTATTCTGATATCAACTTTTCGTATAAAAGCCCTTACCTTTATTAATATATTTTCTGGCTTTACATCTCTGTGAAATATTCCATTTCTGCATTCAATATAAAAGGAAGGATAGAATTAATTGTACCTCATTCATTCACATGCCTTTACATTGCATTCCTGACTGTTACTACACCCCATTACCCTGGAGCTGCCGCGTCTCCGGAGCATACCTGTGCATATGATCGAGGGCCCTGCATAGCTGGTACATATAGTGCACAACTTTTTTTTCTGATAATGGATGTCTTCTCCCTGTACAATCAAGGAAACAGCCAAATATGGTTACTAATGGTCCTGGGACCCTTTTTTGAAATAAAAAGCAGAATCTGTTTTTACTTAATAGTATGTGAAAACCGAACTTCCTATGAGGAATGACCCGGAGCCGTTTCACAGGAAACACAGAGTGTGCCTACAAAAGGAGCCGTTTCACAGGAAACACAGAGTGCCTACAAAAGGAGCCGTTTCACAGGAAACACAGAGTGTGCCTACAAAAGGAGCCGTTCAGAATTCCACCCACGGGGACGAGCTCACAGGAATCCAGGTGCTCGCCTTCGACCGTGGCGGGAGCTGCGTCAGGTAAGAATCCTTCCTCCAGGACCCTCCTTCCCACTGCTGCCCGGGGCCAGTTTCCCTGGGACCCTGCTGGATGCAGCTTTCCACTTCAAAGGGGCGAGATCACAGGCTGACAGAAGTGCAGCTGTTTCAGTCCGGGGAGACCTTTCTGGCCCTGCGTTCTCCGCTGCCTGCAGTCCCAGTGGAGGGGCCCTCTTCAGGGGCCCCCACCCTTTCCTCCTGGGGACCCCATCCACGCGCAGCCCTGGCGCCTCCCCTCCCTGGAGAATCCCTGCCCGATGGAGCGAAGCTACTGATGGAGACAGGCAAGGCCTTGTCTGTTTCAGCTATCCTGACCAGGTGAGTTTTTCCAAGTTAATGTTTACTACTTTTCTCATTAAGAGTCTAAAGAATGTCAGGTACGGCACTAGTAATGTGAACGCAATGCTAAACTACGGCTTTGCTGTCAGGCCTCACTGAGGAAATGTGTTTGCCAGTGTAGCCTGCAGTGTGACAGGCCAATCACACTCCCCCTTCCCCCAGGGGGCCCAGTCCCCAGGCCTCTGCCTGGCTTTGCGGGCCAGTCTTAAAGGTGCACACTGGGTCCACCATGGCACAGCCAAATGGCCCAGAGGCCGTGCCCCACGGCACCACGCGGTGCTTTGCAAAGGAGGGCCTTGCATCATGGCCCCTGTTCTGCGAGCGGTTAGCGATCTGGACCGGCAGAGGGTAGCAGGTGAGATGTTAGAGTCAGCGAGGAGCCTGAGCTGTGACCGGCACCCCTCTCAGCAACCACGGCCACACTCAAGGACGGGTCCTCCCAGCTCTGCTCTTTGAAGCTGCTCATCTTAGGCAAGTGCTGTATCGCTTCTCTGAAATTCCACTTCCTCGCCTCTAAAGTGGAGTTGGCTCCACTGTGAACTGTCAAATAATAATAACAGCTGTCGATGTTTGTTGAAGGCAGTGAGTCAGGCACTGCTCTTAGCTCTTAGCACATGTTTTATTGGACTCTGACAGCAGCCCTCAGAGTTGGAACTGATCACCCCCATTAAAGCGCCTGACCGACCTCTCGTCACCCCGGGCACGGAGCTTGTTCTGGCCGGTGTGCTGCTCCGCCGCGTGGGAGGTCGGTGCTGCGGCAACAGTGCCAGACGGCTCCCCCGAGGCACCAGCACTGAAACCACCGGGAAGGTGTCACTGGCTCAAAAGAGAATTCCGGGGACAAAATAGTGGCCCCACTCACACTCTGAACGCAGACTGACATTAAGGAAAGCAAAGCCACCGTCACTCTGCTTCTCGGGAAGTGTGAGGAGCCCCTGGACAGGCCAACCTCACCCGACTTTCCTGTGTACACCTGCACACAGGGACACGGGAACCGTCTAATAGACCCCAAAGGGCTCTCTTCTAACCTCGATAAAACTCCCATCGCTGCCCTGACCGGTTTGGCTCTGGATAGAGCGTTGGCCTGCGGACTGAAGGGTCCCAGGTTCAATTCCAGTCAGGGGCATGTGCCTTGGATGCGGGCACATCCCCAGTGGGGAGTGTGCAGGAGGCGGCTGATTGATGTTTCTCTCTCCTCGATGTTTCTAACTCTCTATCGCCGCCCTTCCTCTCTGTAAAACAAAACAAAACAACAAAAAACTCTGATCGCTAAGTGATGAGAATGCTGTGTCAGAGCTGAATTGGCATTTTTTTTTCTCTCTTGGTACATTAAAAACAGCGGAGTTCATCGTACAACCAGTGGGTCAGATTTGATTAAATAGAAACACACAACCGAACTAGTCTGACACAGTCACACCCGGCAGAACAGTTAGCGGCTGCGTGGTAACCAGCACACGGCCTGAGCTGACCATGGAAATGAACTGTAGCTACAGCCACAGTTACAGCAAGCTGGTTTTACCTTTCCCCACCTGGTTCATTCCCCAGCAACATGGATTTATTTCAGAATGCCCGCCCCACCCACAGCCTCTAAAGATATAACCCTAAGGTGACCAGGCCAGCCCACTGGACCTGCTACAGCCCACGCTCCACAAGGCGGCCCGTGACTGGATTTCCACACGGGCCCATCTGCTGACAATGGAGGGTCGCAGGGTCTGGGGGGCCATGTCTGCCAAGAGAGGAGGAGGGGACCGTGTGGTCCAGGGACTGTACGGCCTCGGCAACCAGAGCTTAGCTGGTCCCACCTCCCTTGGCAGACATGGTTTCTGCACGAGGCCTGTGGTTTTACAACATACTCCTTCCTCTGCGGGTGAACCAGCAGAGCGGGTGACTCCTTCCGGTGGAACAGTCTAACTATGACCCTCAGTGTCCAAACATCATCCAGGTGCATGACGGACATCTGGGGACACCAATGATGGAGCCGCCAGCACCCCACTTCCTGGAGGCCAGAGCTAACACTCCAGCGCAGTCGGACACCCAGTGGAGCAGCAGGTCTGTGTCAGGCAAGCAGGGGACCCACCAGAGCACGGGCGGAGGTGAAGGAGCCAGGGCGAGGGGCGAGGGCACAATTAACCAGCCATTCAGAGTGGAGTCACTGACAGTTAAACAGGAGGCAGGATCACATGCAGTGCAGGCAAAGAGCAGGTGCCTCTGTGATCAGGTGAGCACCGGGCCTCCCTCCGCCAGATGTTCCAGAACAGCCTTTCCCACCACGGAGGGCGCCTGAATGAACAGACCAGGGCTCCAGCCAAGTCTCCATTCACCCTGTCACTAACTCACTCAGATGGGAGCTCCCCGAAAATTCCTCCCAAGTGCCCCCTCCTCACCCTCTCCCCCAGCACACCCCACAGACCCATCCCACCCACCGTCTAGCACGCCAGACTAGAAAGCCAAATGACATGCCTCCGTGTGGGGCTCCAGATGTGGTCTGACCCACTCGTGAAAGACCCTCGGGCAGCCCAGGGCAATCGCTTGGGAAGCTACTTCCCAGAGGCTCACCCTGGAGGCTGTTGCTTCAGCGCCCCCCCCCCCCACACGTACCCTGCTCCCCACGATTCTGTCAGCTCCGTCCCACATAATAAAACCCTTCGGTTAAACTAGCAGGAATGCATGCTATTGTCTGCAATGAAAGGGGATGACCCTACATCTATGTATGGTCCCTTTCTTCTCTACACGGCAGCCCGACAAGCCCCTATATGGTGCTCCTCAGAGCACAGCCGCACTCTGATGCCGCCTCGGGACTTCCCAGTCGGAGTGGGGATGACGGAAAGGAGCAGCCCTGCTTGGAAGCTGTGGCAGCAGTTCAATATTGGGTGACATCCCAGCACAGGGCCGTTTCCTGGTAATTATTGCATTTACAAACGGTTTGGTCCACAACAGACAGTAAAACACAAATCTGGCTTTCTGCCATAGTTTTAGAAACACTGGTCTAAACACCAATCAAAGTACACCATCCCCCTGGGTTAAACATGTTTTTTTTCTTCTCAAAAAAACTGATTTCAGAGGGAGGAAGGGAGAGGGAGAAACAGATGGATACATCAATGATGAGGGAGAATCATCCATCGGCTGCCTCCTGCACACCCCCTACTGGGGATGGAGCCCAAAACCTGGGCATGTGCGCTGACTGGGAATCACACTGTGACCTCCTGGTTCATAGATCGTGGCTCAATCAGCAGCCAAGCCTAGCTCCTGCTTTAACCCCCACTGAATGATCTAACCCCCAGCCCGGTGACCCTGCAAACCTCATTTCCTACAACCCTCCTCCTCTGGTGGGGCCACAGTGGCCTCTCACCTCACGGTGGCCTCAGGGCTTTTGCACCAGCTGTGCCGCTAGACCGCAGCGGCCTGTTTCATTCTCACACCACGGGCCCTGTCTGGAGTTCTGGGTCACTTCTTCACTGATTTGCTGTCTCTCTCTCATCAGATGTGAGCTCCATGGGGGAGGGAGCTGTGTCTGTCGTGCTCCCCCTGGGTCCCCACCTTGAGAACAGACCATGGCCTGTCACGGTGAACGAGAACGCTCCCCTGCATCTGCCTAATGCTACCACTTTCCGGGTGAGCGTGGTCGGCTCGGGCCCACGGTCACCTCTGCCTCATCTGACATCTACTGGAGGAAGAGAAAATGACCCCAGCAAGTCACTCCCTCATGATTTTGCTTCATACAGTTTATCTCTACGGTGGACTGTACTCTCTGCATTTAAAAATGCATCTTCTTTGCTGCCTCTCTAGCTTTGCTGGCCCCGACACTGCTGTGCACGCCGCAGACAGCTCTGCAAAGGCTGCCGGGACATTCTCTCGGGTCATTGACTGGTCCCGGTATTTAATGGTGCTGCTCAATATTCTCATCGTCCAAGGGAGTAAGTGAAATGAATTCTGATCCTACTAGAGAAAGCTTTAGTGATTGATTTGACTTTCAGTAAGTCAGTGTCAGATCCAGAGCAAACAATGACTAAGTGTCCAGTCAGTTGCGGCACTGAGCTAGGGCCAGGAGCAGGAAGGCCAGGGTGGCGGTAGGGCATCACGGTTGAAGTTTCTGAGTCAGGCTTGACTTTAAGTTCTGGCTCTGTTACTTATGAACAACTTAACTTGGGGTTACTACTTACTCCTTCAGGTCTCACTTTCCTCACCTGTAAACTGGGGATGATGATAAAAGTGCCAACCACAGCGGGCTGCCAAGAGGCAGGGTGTGGGGTGATTAAGAACACTCACTCGGGAGCCAGCCTAGGTTCAGACCCGAGGTCTACCGCTTCCTAGGTGCAGAGCCTTGCACAGGTTACCCATCTCTCTGTGCCTCAACTTCTTCATCTTTAAAATGGGGATAAGGACAGCATGTGCCTGATAGGGCTGTTGTGAGGGTAACATGAGTTAACTCCTCTAAAGTGCTAAGAACAGTGCCTGGCATGTGGCTAGCATTCATGAACTAGTAGCTACTACCAGTCACTGCATTTCATCAGTGATCTAAGGGAGACCTTTTGTGTTCAGTTTAACAACTCTGAAGTCAGGATGCATGTTCCAGCACTCAGTGTCTGACCATCGCTGCTGGCCGCTTTCCCAGGTTCTGACCCCCTGACACAGGCCGGCCTGTGGGTGACGCCGTGTTTGTGTAGTGAGTCACCCACACTGCACAGCCTGTTCCACAGTCTCTCCCTGGAGGCAGAGACTGGAAGAAATGGGTGCAATGTCCCCAATGATACAGCTCCCCTACTACTGAAAGTTACACACTTATTTCCGAACAAAGCTTTCTCAAATGTCTAGATGCATAGAAACTTGCCGGAAATGACCCTCTGACCTTGAGTTTGGAACTATCCACTGTAGGAAGCAACACTCAGAATTCTAACGTGAGCACTTGTCTCACACCAAGAACTGTCCCTGAGCCAAGGAGGCAGTTAGGTAGGGTCGCCCAGAGTAAAAGCTGGGCTTCCTGGCACCAACATTACTGTAGGGAGCTGGTGAGGACGAGTGTTGATTCTCGGCTGCATGTGCGCCAGCCTGCATGCTCTTAGTTACACACACAGAGGATGGAGTGAAGGGCCCGCGGCAGGCAGCAGGTGTTAGGAAACATAATCACACGGTTAACACCTCATTTACCCGGCCCATGCGGGGCACGTGAGATTCCCAGGTAAATGAGTTTACTTCTTGAATGTCAACTCTTCTCCACTGTAATCATTTTAAACGGGACTCTGAGAAGCATCGGGTTCACTGTCCTGCCTTTCCTCTGTGCGCAGTGGAGTGGTGGTCGCCACCATCCACCCTGTGGCCTGCCTTTTCTAACTGTCCTGTGGAATCTGGAGACTCGCAGCTGTTTGCCCAGATGGCTCTCAACCTCTGCTGTTGTTTTCAGACGCACGTGCAAGCTCTATATTCTCAGCCTCCCCAGGATGGACTGTCCCCTGTCACTTTCTGCTATCGCTGGTGTGCCAGGTTCTAGAAGCTCCCTCTAAGACAGCGGTTCTCAACCTGTGGGTCGCGACCCCTTTGGGGGTCGAGAGACCCTTTCACAGGGGTCGCCTAAGACCATGGGAAAACACATATATAATTACATATTGTTTTTGTGATTAATCACTATGCTTTAATTATGTTCAATTTGTAACAATGAAAATACATCCTGCATATCAGATATCTACATTACGATTCATAACAGTAGCAAAATTACAGTTATGAAGTAGCAACGAAAATAATTTTATGGTTGGGGTTCACCACAACATGAGGAACTGTATTAAAGGGTCACGGCATTAGGAAGGTTGAGAACCACTGCTCTAAGAGCTCTATTTTAAATAGGGTTAGAACAAGAAACCAGATCTAACTCTATTAGAATTGTATTTAAAACAAGATTAAACCTATGAATAAAATACACACGGTTTGGAATGATAAGAAATACCCTAGAGTCCCCGATAGAAATCTTCTATTTTCCCAAAAAGATCCAAAAGCTTTTGCATCCAAACATTTTACATAGACTTTTATGCATGTCGAACAATGTGTCCACGTATTTTTAGTCGCATGTGAACTCTACTAACGAGCCATGACGCTCTCCCCACTCTCCCGCTTCATAAAACAACTGTGTGCCCTCCCCCAGGTGTGCTCAGCGTGGGAGTCCCCACGGCAGCGCAGCGTGACCTGCAGTTCCGCAGACACCCGCTTCCGTCTGGGCTGGGCCGGCCGTTTGAAAGCATCTATGGTGCCGCCGCAAACCTTCCATCCCAAGCCAGCAGCAGTCCCTCCCGTGACGTGAGGAGGCTCTTCTCTCCTTTGGCCCATAAGCACGGTGTGACCTGTGAAATGCAGCACTTCCTCTGGGCCTTCTCAGTGACATTTACAAGGCTCACGTGTCCTGACATCTAACACAACGGTGAGGTCACAGGCCCGGGACCGTGGTTAAATGTGGGCCAAACATCTGCCTGCTCCTCTCCATTCCCCTCAGGTGACCTCTGTAAGCCTCCAAAGCCAGCCCTGGTCACGCTCTCCTAAACAGGGCTTCATTGTTCAAAACAAAGCCAATGAATGAGCACCCTGTCTGTCATTCGGGAGACTTTGGAAGGATCCAGATATAAGGAGGTTCCCTCTCATGTGAGGGATTCTTTGGGGGGCGAGCCCTGCCTTACTCTGAGGCGAGAACAGAACGTGGATCAGCAGCAGAGCCCGGGGGGGGAGAGACCCTCGCGGTGGGGACCGCAGTGCGGAGGCCCCGGCTGTCCTGCGAGCCATCCTCCTCCCCGCACGGCCAGCTCGTGGCTGGCGGCCTTCCTTCTCATTTCATTTACCGCCGGATGGTCAGCCCTGTGTGTTTATACTTGACGACTGCCCTCCCGTGCACCGACCTTGAGCACCAGCAACTATGAACTACAGGCTTTACAGTCAGTTCTTACATTAGCTTTCAAAGGAGTCTACGTACCTCGTATCAGTTCATAAACATTCATGTCCATAAGCTCACATATTAGCGCAAGAGAACCAGATTTTCTGTCACTGAAGAAGAAAGCAGGTTTTTGAAATGTTTTCTCATGTCTTAATCAGAAAATAATAATCAAATATTTAATTCATCTGTAAACATTTCTTGTAAAGATAAAGCACTCCCACATCAGACAAAGCCTGGAGTGCAATGACTGAACCAGAAGTTACATTTCAGGTAAAATTAATTTAAAATAATAGTAAAACCCTGCTTTAAGCACAAACTCTAAAAGCCCCCCTCCCCATTTTAAAAGACATATGTATTGACAATATACAATTAACTCTCGAGAGAGAAGAAATGAGGTTGGTGGGTGGGCCAGACAGAATAACCAAGGAGAGAAGGGTTTAATTCATGCCTGCAAGTGCAAGCTTACTTTTAATTTGCCTAAATCACTTCCATGTGACTCATTACCACGGGGTGGGGTGGGGTGGGGTGGGTGGGGAACAGAGTCCAAAACTAGTCAGGGAAGCGGGAGAAAGATGAGTGGCATCGCCCGAGTGACATCCTGCCCAGAGTGGGGACAGAGGCCTCCGGCTGTGCCGCCAGCTCCCCCTGGGTTCAAGGAGCCCCGAAAGGGGCCTCTGACCCTGGCAGGGCAGCCCGTGACACCGCAGGCTGCTCAGGGGCCTCCGGAGGGGCCCCCCTGTCTCTCAGGGCTGCCAGGAGGCCCAGCCACTCTGGACAGGGCGCTTTCTAAAGCGAGCGTAAAGCACCTTCCCCGCAGGCAGTCGTGACTGTCACACGCAGACTGTAGTGTCTACACGCAGCCCAAACTGACGGCTCAGCACACCGCAGGCCAGGAGGCCGCACGCTGCAACAAAACAGTGTACATGGAGTTTAAAACTGTTCGGTCCTCTGACGGGCATCTGCCGCACCTTAGCTGTCAGAGACAGCAGTTTCTTGGCAGGTGTTAAAGGCCACGCCACCTTCTCGGGGATCAGCACCGCTGGCCAAGGGAAAGACAGGGCCTGGAACCCCGGCGAAGCCCCACTCTGGGGACGGTGCCTGGGAACCAGCTGTGCCCTGACCTCCTGATGGGTGGTGAGCCTCATGGAAACTGTTCTACAGTTAGACCAGGAATAAACAATCCCCTGAAACCGTATCGAAAGAGGCTACAGGAAAGGCTACATGAAACTGCAGAGATGAGCAGATGACTATGACAGGGAAGGGAAGCCTATCTCCCCCATCTACCCCCAGATACGACCCAGACCCAGCGGGTCAGGTCAGAGCTCACACCTGAGGCCTCAGGAGCCCAGAGTCACATTATGAATCAGGTGCACAGCTGACTCTCTGGGCTACAAAACAGATCTCTAAAATGCCAACCATGGTTTTCTTTCTTAAAAAGAGATTTAACCATTATCATCAAATGTAGGTAATTTTTAAAGGCCCGAGCATACTTACAAAACCACTTCATGCAACGTAAGAATGTTTGGGTGTGGATTCAGGCGCCTCAGTGCTTGTATCTCTCGGAGGTTGTTCACTTGCTCAATACTATTGTGTAGGCAAAAATAAACAGCTAATTTATCACTCAGGTCAGCTTTAAAATTCGGGCTATTCAGTCATTACTTATCATCCATGATCAGAACTGACAAGCTCACAAATACTTCAAGCAAGTCAATCAGGTTTTATTTCTCCCATTAGCAGTAGAGATTAGGCGTATCATGATTGTGCATTATCTTATAAAACTCAAGGTCCTTATAGCTTTGGATATAAATTCAATTTATCCCCATCTAGCTCCTTGGTAGTTTCTTTTAATAAATATAAACAGAGATGTTAAAATTTCCTATTAATCAGTTTATGGAAACTAACCAACTAGCATTGTAAAAGCCATGTAAAAATAAGCATTTTAAATTTCCACAAACAGGCCCACCCTTCCTTCCTACTTAAGGCGGTCATCTTTTTCAACTTCCTTCACCTGGTGACAGGTGCTCTCTCAGCAGGTGTGTCTACGCAGGCTTTTCTTTAAGAAGACAGCTACACCTGACACCCTGTCGACACCCCAAATCCATCAATGCAAGCGTCACTGCGGCCCAGGGCCTGTGGCTGCCAAGCTCTCCACGCAGAGCCTGAGGGAGCCTGGTCTCCCTGCCGAGCCTGGGCCCAAGGGCTCACATCCAATGAGGACTCAGGCACCAGAGACTTTCATCTCAGAGGTTCTGAAAGGAAGTGATTGTGTGAATCTTCTCCCTTTGAACTGGTGAAATTCTGTTAACAGAGAGAGGGGAGCTTAGCATTCTGTTTAGTTATGTATCCAATAGTATACTGTTATCTTAAATCAATGTGGCTGCAAACGGAAGTATCTCATGCCAGCCAACCAACGGGAGCCTGCTGTGTAAGAAGAGCCTCAATAGTCTGCGTGTAGGATATTTTTAACTAGAAGTTCAGACCCTTCTTTCATCACTGCCCCGTTTCCCCCTCACACCCAGGATGATACTCAAACTGTTAGCAGCTTGTGCGCCATGGTCAACAAACAACCAGAAAGGACACAGCCCACAGCTCGGGAAGAGGGTCCGAAAGGGGGCCCACTAGGTGCTGGCAGACGGCGGTCTAGGGCAGTGATGGCGAACCTATGACACGCGTGTCAGAGGTGACACGCGAACTCATTTTTTTGGTTGATTTTTCTTTGTTAAATGGCCTTTAGATATACAAAATAAATATCAAAAATATAAGTCTTTGTTTTACTATGGTTGCAAATATCAAAAAATTTCTATATGTGACACGACACCAGAGTTAAGTTAGGGTTTTTCAAAATGCTGACACGCCGAGCTCAAAAGGTTCGCCATCATTGCTCTAGGGAGTGCTGGGCAGGGGCCCAGCACAGGGCAGGGAGGGCGGCACCCCAGAGGCTCAGGACAGCAGCTCTTCACCACCCAGGACAGGTGGTTTCCACTCTTCTAATCGTGATGGGAAGTCTTCCAGAACTGGGCCAACTTCCTAAACTCACCCATCATGGGTAGATTTTATGATATGCAAATTATATCTCAATAAAGCTTTTTAAAAATCTTATCTCCCCTTTTATTTAGAAACCCTGAACTTCTCTGTTTTGATCAAGTCACATAGCCTTTCTTTGGCTTATTAAAAAAATTCCACCTAAAATACAGTAGCATTTTAAAAAGTAACAAATAGCCCTAGCCAGTTTGGCTCAGTGGATAGAGTGTCGGACTGCGGACTGAAGTGTCCCCGGTTCGATTTTGGTCAAGGGCATGTACTTTGGTTGCTGGTTCAATCCCCAGCCCTGGTTGGGCCCGTGTGGCAGGCAACCAATCGATGTATTTCTCTCATATCAATGTTTCTCTCTTTCTCTCTCCCTTCCAGTCTCTCTAAAAAAAAATCATTGGAAAAATATCCTCAGGTGAGGATTAACAAAAACCAAACCAAACCAAAACTAAATAAATATAACACCAGCTAGAAGGGATCTGGGGGACTGGGTGTTGTATATCAACTTCCATCAGTCTCTGCAAATGCTGCTGCTGCCACGGTGTCCTCATGCTCCCCTTACCGAAGCTCTCAATTCTCAGCCTCAGCATTCACTCTGTGTATGACCCAGCCCATTGCTTCCGGCCTCCGTTAGCATTTGAAGATCCGAACTTGCCATCAGCACTTGGAGATGACTACTGAGAAGGCCTCCTTTCACAGTGATGATGCCTCTAGAGTTGACATAGTTTTTCTGCGTCCTGAAGATGTGGTTGGTGTATGTCTCCCATCTACTGAAATCCTATTTGTAGATGAGTTTTGAGTGGGTTGGAGTTCCATTGTTTCTCCACAGGGTCAACTACGGACGGTCCAGCACAGGTGTTTTGGTTCCTGCCGCACGGGTCAGAGCTTCGCAGTGGAAGGCCCTCCCCTCTGTGCTGAGAAGTCGATGGCTGTGCAGCTTTCCAGGAGGGGATCAGACGTCCGTCCGATATGCCAGCTCCCAGCACACCTGGGCTCACAGGGTGTGGGTATTTCTGCTTTGCAGCTGTTGGAACAGTTTCCCAGGGCTGGTCCAAGGCGTGCCCCGGAGACCAGATCTTCATGGTGCCGGCGAGCTGTGCCACTCCGGGTGGCGCCCTCAGTCTTCAGCATTCCGTACCACGATGTACCGTGATGTTATCACCCGTTCCACTAAACGGGTTGCCAGCTTTTTACCACTATGACTGATGCTGTAACAAACATCACGGGGGGGGGGGGGGTGAACCCTCCCCACAAAGAAGACTTCTAGGCCCAGATGATTTCACTGATGAGTTATTTCAAATATTTAAGAAAGACTCTTGCACATTTCACAAAAGAAGAGAGATGAGCTGCCAATAAGCAGGGACCTGCAGACTGGGTCCCACTTGGCTCCACCACCTGCCAGCTCAGTGACCCGGGCGGTTGGGGACCTTCTCTCTCTAGCCCACGGTTCTCCACCCTGATAGAGGGCCACAGGCACCGTCCCCCGAGGGCGGCAGCGAGCACCAGTGACAGGCAGCGATTCACCAGGACTGGGCATGGCGGCAGGTGCTTGGTGAGCAACCACTGTAGTCACCTGGCATGACTTCCTGTCACTGCTACTCATTTCTCACACCACCCACACATGGTGCAGGCCCACTAGACAATGAGAAGTAGAGCAAATGGATTTTTAAAGGAACCCAAAGTTATTCTTCCAGTGGATAAGGGTAAGTTGTTTCACAATGAGAGTGTAGATGGTCCAGGTTCCTCACTGTAAAGTTACTCTCTTTTCCTCTTTATTTTCTATTCTTTAGAAGCAAGTCACTTATTGATGTCAGTATGTACTCGTGGTGATATGAATAGACAGATGGCTGGGTAGATAGGTAGAGAGAGAGAGGTTGGCGGGGGGGGGGGGGGCGGTTAAATGGGTCCGTGCACATGCACACTGGCTTCGTCTACGGAGGTTATGACATTCCAGGCGCCATGAGAACACCTGGTGCTGAAGTCTTGTTTCCAAGTATCTTTCTCCAGTAAAAGGCGACAAGGCTCCTTAGAGAAATGGGGGTTCTAGGGGCCGGGGAAATACACGATGAGCGCAGACTCTTGTAGTGCTGACGGAGTAAGAAAAGGGTGGGCACGTCAGAAGAAACAGAGCCACCCTGAAGGAGCTCCAGTGGCCAGAGCCGGACAGTTTTTTAAATAAGTAACAACAGCGTTGCATTGAACATATGTACCAAGAGCAGGTAAGAGCTCACAAGCAAAAACCCAGAGTCCAATTCCCCTCGGGTCTGTTGCCCGGCTGCAGGCACCTGCCCATGAGCCTGAGGTGACCATCATCTAACGTCAGCCACCGGCCACCAGTGGCCCAGGGCCACGCTCCCTTCCAAGGCAAGCAACATTCCAGTGTGGTTCACACTGCAGACACCTCCCCACACACCCAGACTCGACAGCAAAGCAAAGGAACACAAATCCTGTGGTACTTTATTAAAAATCTTTACTTATTATGGGTTTTTTAAAGAAAAATGTGTTCTAATCAACCACTTTTAAAGTTAAGGCAAAGAGCAAGAATTGTTCTCAACTACATCAAGCGGTGACCCATTCGGCAACGAGGCTGCCGTCTGTTGAACATTAAGCACACGCCCGCCTTGCTAGCTACTTCCTAGTCCTCCCCTCGCTTGCTCCTCAAGCCCCTCAGACAAGGAAGCCGGCTCAGGTGCACGAGTGTTACTGATCTCTTCTCTGCAGTTGGCTACACTGATCCTGGTTGAGCTCCGGTCAAGTTCATCCTGTTTACAGCTGGTCTGCAAACTACTGTGCTGTATTTTACCATTAGCAAGAACAGCATTCAGTAACAATGGCCTGGACCTTGAGACCCTTGTCCTGCTAACACCAGGGTGCACTTTCGGTGTGTTGGGGACCTGGTGGATGGAGGAACAGCTGGCGTGTCACCGGCAGGAAACCACATCCTTAGGTGATGCTACCTCCTCCGGAGGGGCGGGGGTTACACGGAGTGTCTGCCACCCCTCACAGGAATGCCTCCCAAGGCAGTCTAATCTTGGTTGACTTCTAAGCCGTGTTCCAGGTAGCGCTCCCTTCCGGCGGGGGCATGTGCGGCTGAGCAGGCCACGCCGCGGCTGGCTCCGCAGTGAGCGTGCCCACGCAAGGGTCTGCTCCAGCAGCCTCAGGAGGCGCCGCGTCGGGAGGCTATTTGCAGCCCTTTATTTGCATCTCTTCACTAAAATAACAGCTGGCAAGTCCTGTTGGCAGCGAGCACATCTGCCCCTGAGCCTGACAGCGGGACCGGGTCTCTTCTGAGAGGCAACTGTCTCGCAACTGCTGCTACAACAGTCCGATCTCAGCCACCTGGCTGTTAGAGTCGGCTCCCACATGCCGGGCCGTCAGTACACTGCGTCCAATTCTCTATCACGAGTAATTTGACGGCCCTGGCCAGGTGCTTAGTGGTTAGAACATCAACCCTCGGACTGAAGGATCTTGGGTTGCAGGTTAGATCCCTGGCCCCGGTCAAAGCAAGAGCAGGAAGCAACCAATCGATGTGTCTCCCTCACATCAATGTTCCTCTCTCTCTTTCTCTCCCTCTTCCTTCCCTCCCACTCTCTCTAAAAAATCAATGGAAAAAATATCCCCAGGTGAGGATTAAAAGAAAAAGAGTAATTTGTCGCACAAAGGAAGAAGTGACAGAAGAAGGCAGGAGAGCAGCAACAGCAGTCTCGGAAGGGCAGGTAACGGCCACACACTGTGGCGGTGAGGACGAGGAATCTGGATTCAAATCTGGCTCTGCCCACCTAGGGGCCTAGAGTGACAGCTGTCAGCCGCGTCACGTCCCTCGCACTGTCCTCCTGCACAGAACAGGGATGACGACTTTGACCCTGTGGCGATGTCTCGAGGATGAAATTATTGTTCTCCATACTCTTGGACACCACTAGTGCCCTATACTCCTTTCTGCTCTCAGAAACAGTGCTTCACACTGAGAGTCTGGAATCAACGTTTATATCCTCAAACACTTCAGAAGGCTCTGCACCAACGGGGGGGAATGCCTAAAGAAATCTCACTGTGTTGTACACATCACATGACTAGAATCTTCCCACGAATATTGAGCTGCCCTGCTGATTGAAACCAGAGTCTGCTTCTGGTGTGACCCGCCTCATCGCCTACCTTTCAAAGTGCTGTTTCATCTGTTTGCATGCATAGTAGTTTCCATCCCTCAAGCTCTGCATCTTCATAACTTCAGAAAACGTTCCCTCGCCTATTTTGCCAATTGCTTTATAGTCTATAAATAAAAACAATTATGAAAACAGATTTTATTTATACATATATTTTGTACTTGTTTCCAGACAGCGAAAGTTTTACTTGTAAGAATATTGGCAGTTGCCTGGCCGGTGTTGCTCAGTGGTTGAGTGTCGACCTATGAACCAGGAGGTCATAGTTCAGGGGTGGGCAAACTTTTTGACTCGAGGGCCACAATGGGTTCTTAAACTGGACCGGAGGGCCGGAACAAAAGCATGGATGGAGTGTTTGTGTGAACTAATATAAATTCAAAGTAAACATCATTACATAAAAGGGTACGGTCTTTTTTTTTTTTTAGTTTTATTCATTTCAAGCGGGCCGAATCCGGCCCGCGGGCCGTAGTTTGCCCACGGCTGTCATAGTTCGATTCCCAGTCAGGGCACATGCAGAACTCACGGGAAGCAAATAGATCAGAAACCTATTAAATAAAAATGTCTGTCACGCCCTAACTTGTTTGGCTCATTGGATAGAGCATCGGTCTGCGGACTGAAGGGTCCCAGGTTCAATTCCAGTCAAGGGCATGTACCTTGGTTGTGGGCACATCCCCAGTGGGCGGTGTGCAGGAGGCAGCTGATCGATGTTTCTAACTCTCTATCCCTCTCCCTTCCTCTCTGTAAAAAATCAATAAAATATATTAAAAAAATGTCCATCACCTTCAGATCCCAAACCTGCATCAGCACAGAGCAGGCCTGTGAAACTTTTCAGCCTCAAGGAGGTAGCCTCTTCCACACCCCTTCGATATGGCACATTTTAAAAAATATATACTTTTATTGATTTCAGAGAGGAAGGGAGAGGGAGAGAGATTGAAATATCAATGATGAGAATTATTGATCAGGGGTCTCCTGCACGCCCCAAACTGGGGATTGAGCCCGCAACCTGGGCATGTGCCCTGACCAGGAATTGAACCATGACCTACTGGTTCAGAGGTCAATGCTCAACCACTGAGCCACGCCAGCCGGACGATGTGGCACATTTTAAAAACCTGTGTGAGTTCTGATCTGAACATACCAGCAAGAAAAAAAAGGTACTTTTAAAAAGAAGTAATACAGTTTTTTAGAAATGATATGTAATTTAAAAATATTCCTATTCCACTCAATTTCCTACTTGGTTTGTTTTCATAAGAAGCTCTGAATGTAGACTACCATTCAAGTACTCTTAAATTTGGTTGTTCTAAAATGTTCTCTTCCTTTCCTTTCCTGTCAGTAACTTTCACAGGACTCAACACAGGTGCAGGTTGTGGTGCGGCAGGGTCCACGTGACGTGGCACAGCCGATGAGGAAATCAACGTGGCTGTGCAGCAAGACCACCGAGGCCGTCCCACACCATCCCTGGCAATGGCGCGGCTCTCGGGGAGAAGGGGGTACGGTAGACTCTCACCTTCTGCCTAATATTCAGCATGGCATAAATATTCCACAGTGAGCATGAACTGCTTGTTTATTTTTAATTTTTAAAAATTAACTTCTAGCTTCCTCAGTCGGCCTGTGAACCAGGAGCTCATGGTAGATTCCTGGTCAGGACACAAGCCCCATTGCAGGCTCGATCCTCAGTAGGGGGCATACAGGAGGCAGACGATCAATGATTCTCTCTCATCCTTAATGTTTCTATCTCTCACTCCCTCTCTCTTCCTCTCTGAAATCAATTAAAAAATATTTTAAAAATGGCCAACTGTACATTTAGTGGGTTCAGTACAAACTCCAAGTGTGGGCCAACATTGCAGGCACCTCCAGGCCACCGAAATCAGTCGGCGACAAATGGAACCTGCAGCCCTGGAGGCGGCTGTCTGTGGTGGAAAAAGGGTCACTGCTTTTCCATGGCTCTGTCAGTAACAGAAGGTCTGGTTACAAAACAAGAATGAAGGGGGGGGGCGGGGGCGGGGTAGAGAACGGCCCCCTCTCATCTCCAACAGAACCCGCGTAGTTCACAGGTCTTGAGAGTCAGACAAGAAATATGAAGATACCAGTACACACAGCACTGTGAAGGGTGCAGAGCTGAGCTAGGGACAATCCCTGCCCCACATTAATGGGACTAGAAATAAATAGTCTCCCAAAACAAAACCAACCATCCACCCAGGCTCAAGGACAAAGAGGACTTACTATAACCGAATAAAAAAGGTGGAAAAAGGAAAATAAATGAGATCATTTGTGTTCATTAAGATTCTATTCACTTTTTTATTTTTATTATTGTTTAAAGTATTACTAATAGTAGTACATATGTCTCCCTTCCCCCCCCCCCAACTGTTCACTTTTATGAAACCAAGGCTCTTTTGTTTAAGTGGAATCTAAACCTTATTTAACCGTGAAAGTGGAGGTCAAGTTCACTTTTTGAGAAAAGAGCAAGTTGTCAGGCCCAAGTGCAAACATTTGTATTCAAGCACTGCTTCTGAAGCTCTGAATCACGCAGGTGACGTGCAGCAGAGCCGTGGGGGCCCAGCCAGCTGAGGAATGGAAAGAACTGGGGGAGGTTAATCGCTATGTTCGGGGCATGTGCCTGGACCACAGTTGTCAGGGAGAAGATTCCGCTTCTAATGTCTAGTCATTTCAAGAGATTAAGGAATTCAAACCAAATGACAAAAACAAGGTCAGGAACCTCCAAGGAAAAGTTCCGCACCCAATTAAATTACTCGGTGTAGTGAGGAAAACTGTGACCTGAATTACCAAACATCCTGAAAACACAAAAGGACAGAAAATTATTCCTAACTGCACGAACATTTTACATTTCAATTGCACCCTGCTCTGGCCGGCAAGTGGTCTTGGGTTCATTTTCCCGTCAAGGACACATACCTGGATTGCAGGGCCTGTGCGGGAGGCAACCAATCCATGTGTCTCTCTCACATCAATGTTTTTTTCTCTCTCTCTCTCCCTCTCCCTAAAAAAAAAATCAATGAAAAATATATCTTCCAGTGAGGATTAACAACAATAACAAAATTAAAAAATAAAATTCAAATTGCACCCTTTGGCCCTGGCTGGGTAGCTCAGTTGGTTAGAGCTTTGTTCCCGATATGACAAAGTTGTAGGTTTGATTCCTGGTTAGGGCACATGCCTGGGATTGTGGACTCCATCCCCAGTAGGAGATGTGCAGGAGGCAGCCGATCAATGTTTTCTCTCTCTCTTTCCCTCTTCTCTCTCTCAAATCAATAGAAACATAATTTTATATATATATTTTTGTTATTGATTTCATAGAGGAAGGGAGAGGGAGAGGGAGAGATAGTAACATCAACGATGAGAGAGAATCACTGATCACAGCCTCCTGCATGACCACATCAAAGATCGAGCCTGTAACCCAGGCATATGCCCTGGCCAGAAATCAAACCATGACCTCCTGGTTCATAGGTCTACACTCAACCACTGAGCAGCACCAGCCAGGCAATAAAAACACATATATTTTTTAAAAAGACACAAAAGGCAGGACACTGCCAAATTAAAGGAGACCAAAGAAATAGGACATCAAAATGCAATTTGTGATTTTTGATTGGATCCTGGAAAAAATAAAAAACACCTATAATGAACATTATTGGGATGACTGGGAAAATCTGAATTATAGACTGCATGCCCGATGACAGTACTGTACCAACACGCTAGTGGTACCGTGACTGTGTAGGACCATGTCCTTGTTCTTAGCACACACTTGCTGAATTGCTAGTGTTGAAATATCATGCTGTCTGCAACTAACTATCAAAGGTTTGGCAAAAATAAATGCGTCGCTAAGAGAGAAAATGCCAGAACATAGTGGGGCATCTAGGTGAAGGGTTTATAAACTTTCAAGGAACTCTCCTTGCAACTTTTCTGTAGCTTCAAAAATGTGCAAAATAAACAGTTGGAAAGGAAAAAAGGAATATGGTACAGAAATGCGTGTGCTGTATATAAGTTCACACTGTAAGTAAAAGTGCAAACCTTTTGCACTTTTGTAGACCTTGCACTCTAACTACAGCTTTGGGTGCATTCGAGAAAGACAGACAAGTACACAATATCCAACAGGAGAACATAAGAATGCTTGTACAGGGTCAGTGAGAGAAGTCGGTTATTTTTAATATCTTTGCCACACGATTGAGGCCATATACCACTACTAACTGACAATTAGGATAGGATGCAAATTTAACACTGCAACTACACTAACGTAATTCATCTTTCCACAGCAAAGGAGGTCGGAATTTTTTTTTGCACCTTCGACTCATCGGCTCTTCCAGCCCAGGGGGGCTGGGGACCCCCCCCCCCCCAGTGACGCCCCAGGCGACGAGGCCCGGCCCCTCAGGGTCCCGGTCCCCTGGGGCCCTCCGCCGCGCTCGCTTCCAGGCCCCTCCGGCTCCGCCCCTGCCCGGCCCCACTCACTCTTCATCCTGGACGGAGGCCGGCGACAGCCCCGGGCCGACACTGGGCGGAGAGGAAAGGGCCCTGGCTTCCACGCCTCCGAGGCGGGGCCTCGAACTAGGGCCTCCGCGGTGGTCCCGGTCGGAGCGTTAGGACCCGGCCGCCATGTTGTGTCCCTGTCGCCCTGGCAACCGCCAAGCCCGGGACGCCCCGGGACGCCTCCCGCGCGTGCGCGAAACGGCTGCAGGAAACTGAAGCGACGGACGCGGAGCCCCGGCAGACTTTGCAGATGCAAAGCCCGGGTGGGAGACGGGGGTGATCGCACACTTCTCGGGGGCGCAGGGGCGCTGTCTGAGCCAAGTCCAGGGGCTGGTCAAGCAGAAGATCGCGGAGTGTTCCAGCCGGAGGGCGGGCGGGTGGGCGCGAAGTCCGGGAGCGGGAGACCCATCCCTCCTGCCCAACCCGGGGTCCTGCGGAGGGGACAGGCCGAAATGAAGGTGAAGGGGTCCTGCGTCCCAGACAAGGCTGCGAACTTGGTCTGCAGGGCACAGGGAGCCGCGAAACGTCTTAAGCAGGGGAATGGCGAGGAGAGGCCTGGGTTAGAGCGAGCCCTTCGACAGCGCGTGCATTGGAAAGGACCCACGGGAGGGGCTGCAGGGGACCGCGGTCAGAAGGATGGAGAAAGGGGGCAGCACCCGGGGTCTGCCCGAATAGTCTGCACCCGGGTCAATGAGGTGGATGCGAGGGAAGACAGCTGGGTGTGGCTGGGTGGCTGGCTGGAGGGAGCTGAAGAAGAGGGTTGGGTGACCTTGCAGTCTGGGGTCCCCCCGTATCCTTTCCCTTCTCACAGGGTCCCTCTATGCTGACCTTCCACCTACCAGATGGGCAAACATGAAAACCCAGGAAGGAGTCAATGAAGGAGGCGGTGTGGCGAACAGGCGCTCACTCTCCATTTGAGTGTGAGCTGGCACAGAAGTGGGTTGGAATTACCTGTTCATTTAAAAATAGATTTATACATTTTTCCTAAGCTACTAGCATTTCTGCTCTAGCTGCCGTAGGACCAGACCACCCGGTCTGACCAGCCCTGAGCCCTACCACCCAGAGCAAAAGGGAAACTGCACACGTGTACCCAATTTTGGTAAAAAGTAACAGGGAGGAGGTTAATGTCTGCATTACCTATTCCAAGGCCTTTGGGCTTCTGGAAGGAAGAGCTTATGGAGGACTTACCCTTTCTACATGACATGGATAACTATAGTATTGACCTTTTTTTTGATCAACAGAATTATTTTTGTATCAGAATATTTAAAAATAAATTGATGCATGGAAACAAACAAAAAAAAGGTAAATGCAAGTGTATGGGCTGCATGCCAGTATCCCCCAATTTCATATGTTGAACCTTAATCCCCAAGGTGGTGGTGTTACGACTTGGGGACTTTGGAAGATGTCTAGGTCATGAATAGGGTTAGTCGCCCTTCTAGAAAGGACCCCAGAAAGCTCCCTCTCCCCTTCCACCATGTGAGGACACAGTGAGAAGATGCTGTCTGTGAACTAGGATGAGGATCCTCCCCAGACAGGGAATCTGCCTGGGCCTTGATCTTGGATTTCAGCCTCCAGACAGTGAGATGAATAAGCCCCACAGTTTGTGGTGTCTTACAGCAGCCCAAACAGACTAAGACACCAAGTTAAAGGTTATACTTTAAACTGTATATTATATTACTCTTAATAGATCAATCATGTTACTATTTGTAAAGAGACATCAAGCAAAACTCCAACCCACAGTTTTATCTAGGCTGGGGGACAAGTGTCTGACGCAACAGCCTTTGGTCAGCTCCTCAATTCTGACTCGCCTGGGCCAGTCCTGCATGCAGCAGGGTGATCTTATCCAAATGCCGATCGATTTAGGGTGCTGCCCCCCCCCAACCTTACCCACTTGTCCACTTAAAACACTTCGCCAGTTCCCAGTGCTCCAGGATAAACACAAAACCTAGTATGAGTCGGCAGACCGTTCACACCTGGCCCTGCCCACATCTTCAGCTCATCTCTTGCATGCACAGACACTCCTAGGAGCACACACTCACACACACAAATGCACACATGTGCGCACACCAGCACCCTGGCCCTACCACTTGCCCTGTTGCACACCTGTCAGCCCCTGTGTCATTCATGGGATGTTTTATGTTTGCAACCAGCCCTTTCACCAGGTCCAGAGAAACAGAACTTCCTGTCCACCAACTGCCCTGAGTGCCTGCGGAGGGCGCTGGCATTCATTCACTGAGCAGCTCCTCTGTGCCAGAGCCCTTGTCAGCACTCCGTGGGAATAAATGGATTCACTTCATTTGGTTCCTGTGAAAGGGGGCGACTGACTCCCTCTTCCCAATTAGCACCAGAGAAACCATTGCATGAGAAAGAGTCATGGGCTCCAGGGTGTAAGACAGAAGGGAGACGCTGTAGAGACTTGGGTGGGGGTAGTGAGGGTGCTGAGTATACGCACCCTCACTACCCCACACATGTCCACAGGGAAATGTGTCCTTGTGCCTGGGTCTGCATTTACCAGTATTTATGGGAAATTTCTGCCCAGCTTGCTATTCCCACAAGACCACGGTCACTATGTCCCTCACTGTGAGATGAATAAGGAGGAGGGGGGACAGACTGAGACGAACTTTGTCATGCCTGCTCTTGAGTCTCCCTCGCACAGCCCTGCGCCCTGGTCCTCAGGCCCTCTGGGCAGATATAAACCCAGGTCCACAGGTCAGGGCACAGGATGGTAGGTGCCCAGGGAGGCAGTGAGGAGCCAGCGCCCCAGGCACCCCTCCTCCTGCTCCTCAGCCCCAGCCTGGAGCCCCTTCCTCTCCTGTGGCTTCTCTCCAGGAGCCCAGGAGGCAGTGACCAGGCGGGTGGGCAGGGACCGGAGCTCTCCACGCTGCCTGTGAGACACTCAGCCCCGGGATCAGGGTGAGGGCAAGGCTGGTCCTTCTGGGGCTGCAAGTCACATGCCCTTCTCTGCGAGTGAGTCTAATTTCCCTCTCACAAGGACACCTGTCGTTGCAGCGAGGGCCCACCCATCCAAGACCCAAGGCCTCCTCTGAGCTTTGTTTACAACTGCAAAGGCCCTATTCCCAAATAAGGCCAAGGTCACTGTGTCCCGTCCGCATGGATGTGGGGACACTGCAGCACACACCTCAGGACAGGGATCACCGGGCACACGGAGACATCGAGGCCCGGGGTTGAGTGGAAACACCAGTCTCAGAACAGCAAACTGAGTAGAAATTTCCTGTAAATACTGGTAAATGCACACCCAGGCACCAGGACACATTTCCCTGTGGGCATGTTCTCTCCCCCGTCAGTGCACTCACATGTGACAAGATGCACGCCTGCGACAAGCACGGCCCCTTCCGAGCAGGGCGTGAGGCCTCTGTACCAGGACCTGCAGGGCTTTCCTGTGTGAAGTGAGAGCGCATCTCTGCACTCACCTACTCAGAGCACAGAGTTCTGACAGTGGACACATTGCAGCCTCCCGCCACCAGGGGGCGACGCGTCGCCCCTCACAGTGCTCTGCCCTCCAGGCACCACCCGGAAGTCCCGCCTCTGCAGGGAGTCAGCAAGGTTTGTCCAGTAGACAGCAGAGTCCAGGGGTGCAGGGCTGTTAGGCCTGTGTGGCTGCTGGCAGCGCGGGGCCGGGAAGCCTCAGGGGGACCTGGGCCTGGGGCGGCTGACCCTGCGGGGAGGAGCCCGGCAGGCGGTCTCGGAGGGCAGCCCCGCGGGGGACGTGCTCATGCGGGGAGTCGGTCAGCTTCTGCGGGAAAGATGGGACGTGCGGGGCGCGGGGCGCGAGCTGGGGGCCGGCCTTGCTCAGGCTCCCGGTCCTCCGGGCATCGGCCTCCCCGCTCTGCCTGCACCAGCGGCTCAGGGCGGCGCCTTCCGAGTCGGGGTTTGTTTCTGAGAAAGACGCCCTTTCCCAGGCCGCCCGCCCGCCCTGCAGAGGGCGCGTGAGCCCGCGTGCCTCTGCCCTGTGTGGCCCACGCTCGGGATGCTGCCCCAGGACTTCCGGGGCCCAACTCCTCCGGTGTCGGTCCGGGACCCTCCTCAGCCACAGGGTTCGGCTCAGAATGTCCCCGAGTTGTAGTAAAAGCCACGGACCCCGACCCCCGGCAGCCAGTCAGGCGTCCGCTGGACGGGGCACCGGAGGTCGTTGTCCGCTTCCCCCGTCAGCCTTCCCCGCCGCGGGAAGGGCGCCGGGAAGGACGCGCTGCAGAGGCCTCATCACAGTGCCCCGGGCTCATCACGGAGCCTCGGGCTCAGAGCGAGGAGCTCTCTGCACGCGGGTCCATGAGGCTCCAGGTCTGGGGTTTCAGCAGCGTCCCCGTGGGGCCCAGAGTGGGTCACGCCCCTGGGGTGCGTCCCTGAGCTGCTCTCGAGTCATTTATCCATCAGACACCTGCAGATCTGCGTGCAAGTCCCATCGGAACCAATGTGCGAGCTTAACAACTTCAGCACCATGAACGGCATTGCTCGTTTTAAATGCTCCACTGATGATAGTTTATATTGAAGACATCAAATACGTTCAGAATTTCAGGTATTTGATGTAGTTAATTAATTCCCATCGTGTGTTGAAAACATTCAACCTGAGTAGTTTATACATAAATTATTTTTATGTCTGCAGAATTCTAACTTCTCTTTTCAAAAATATATTTCTATTGATTTCAGAGAGGAAGGGAATGGGAGAAAGATAGAAACACCAATGATGAGAGAGAATCATTGGTCAGCTGCCTCCTGCAGGCCCCACATTGGGGATTGAGCCCGGACCTGGGCACGTGCCCTGACCAGGAATCAAACCTCGAGTCCCTGGTTCGAAGGTCGACTCTCAATCACTGAGTCATGCCGGCTGGGCTAATGTCTCTTTTTTAAGTTATATTTGAGCATAATGTGTGGTCATAGGATGCTCTTCAGGTTGATTTTCACGAAGGGGCTCCAGGAGGGAGTTTACAGGTTACATTTATTATTTGTTACCCACAGAATATCCCTTGTCTGGGCGCTGGCCTCTGTGAAGTTGTTCCCTCCTGCCCATCTGCGCCTTTCTCTGGAGGCTTCTAGCATTTAGTGTTTGCCCTTCAGCAATGACGCGTGTATATCACACTCTAACCCAGCCCTGGGCAAACTACGGCCTGCGGGCCGGATCCGGCCCCTTCGGCTGTTCTATCCGGCCTGCGGAGGGTTCTCTTGCTCTCCCCTCTGCTCCTTCACCAGCAGCAGTGTTAACATGGCAACGTCGGGAAACAGGGCCGCAGCTCCTTCTTCTGAGTGGGCGGATATAGAAGGAACAACCTCTCAATCTTCCAGAGGCTCCTTGTAATGCCCGCGGACGCGTCTCCCGACATCACCCTGGGAATGCGTAGACACGTTATCGTGGTGATGCAGGGAGGCACGCCCCTGGAGAGCACAGTGTCAGAGCCTTTCTGAGGTAAGATTAAGAGCTCTACTCAAACACGATTTTTTCCTGTTCCCACATTCTGTACATTACAATGACTTGTTAATAAAACAACAAAGACTTTCAGCTGTAAAAATGCGTGCTTCAGGGCATTTGTGTTAACATGCACCACTGCACATTAGCATCAAGGCAAACATGATGGAAACCTGTGTATCCTGCATTAACCCTAGCTGCGCTGCATTGCAGTACTGCACCACACTGCAACGGCAGCACGGCTAGTGTGAACGAACCCTAATTCAGTGGGTTGAACAAAAAGATTGTATAGAAATGTGATGAACTAAAGATTTTATTACAAAATCGCTTAATTTCAGGGTTTCAGAAGTAATTGGACAAATGAAAAACTGAAAATCAAATGTTCATATCTAATACTTGGCTGGAACCCTTTCCTGGTAATGACAGCCTGAAGTCTTGTACTTATGGACATCACCAGATGCTGGGTTTTCTCCTTTGTAATGCTCTGCCAGGCTGTCACAGTAGGGGTATATATATAAATATCCTGCCATTTCCAGCTTTTAATAAGAAAAACTGTTGCAATGGGCATTTAAAAGTGGCACTTGGTTGTTTTTATAGAGTCCAGTGGATGCAATCTGACATTGATAATGGGCTCTTTCACACTATGTGCACTGCGGCTGTTTTTTGCCAGTAACGGAAGTGCTAGTGGTAACTACTGGTTACCCATGTTTTGCACTGCCCTAGCACCTCCCATACAAGTGTGTCTGGAAGACACAGCAATGTGCAGCTATGTGTGTTACCATAAACAAAGGGCCTGTGTGAAAGATACACAGGTTTCCTATGGAGGAAAGGGGTTGTTCTCTATGGTCAGGGTGTGCCTCTGTCCCATGTCTGAACTTTTTCAGATGATTTTGTTATATATATATTTTTTAGAAGACCAAAAATGTTATAGTAGAGCAAATTTAATCACTTGTTTTTATACTTTACTGTCTTATTTTAGTAAAGAATTTAATAAGAGAACGGTACTGTTGGTTTTAGCCCAATATTAAACATGAGTGGACCAAAGAAAAGGAAAGTGGACAGTGAATGCCGAGTGTTTAAGAGGGAGTGGACAACAAAATATTTTTTCACCGAAGTCCGATCAATGCCGGTATGTCTGATATGCCAGGAAACACTTGCAGTCTTCAAAGAGTACAATCTCAGCCATCACTTTGCCACAAAGCATGGCAACTATGCTAGCAAGCAGCCACCTCAAGAACGGGAGGCTACTGCACAGAGGTTGATGGCTAAATTACAGGCTCAGCAAAATGTCTTTCACAGACAAACTGCAATTCAAGAGACAACTACCAAAGCAAGTTTTATGCTATCATTCAAATTAGCAAAAGCTAGCAGACCTCTCTCTGAAGGCGAGTTTTTGAAAGAATGTATGATAGAGACAGCAGGTCTCTTGTGTCCAGAGAGCAAAGGCAAGTTTGAAAAACTCAGCTAATCGCGCAGGACAGTGACTCGTCGAGTGGAACTGATTGATGAAGACTTGGCCAGCAAGTTAAATAGTAAGGCAGAGTTCCTTAAGTTTTATTCACTAGCATTGGATGAAAGTAATGACGTAAAGGACACTGCTCAGCTCTTAATTTTTATCCGAGGGATTAGTGACAATTTTGAAATTACGGAGGAGTTTTTAGCCATGGAGCCACTGAAAGGAAAAACACGGGGAGAGGACTTGTATGACCGGGTGTCTACTGTCATCGAGAAAATTAAGCTACCATGGAGTAAACTTGCTAATGTCACGACAGATGGATCTCCAAATTTAACTGGAAAAAATGTTGGACTGCTAAAAAGAATTCAGGATAAAGTGAAAGAGGAGAACCCTAACCAAGATGTTATTTTTCTTCACTGTATTATTCACCAGGAATCATTGTGCAAGTCTATATTACAACTTAATCATGTTGTTAATCCAGTCGTAAAGCTTGTTAATTTCATTCGAGCAAAGGGACTTCAGCACCGTTAGTTTATTAAGTTTCTGGAGGAAACTGATGCAGATCACCATGACTTACTTTACCACTCTCGTGTCCACTGGTTGAGTTTGGGCAAAGTTTTCCAACGAGTGTGGGAGCTCAAAGAAGAGATTGGTGCATTTTTGAAATTAAAGGGGAAGTCTGACGAATTTACTGAGCTGAGTGACAAGAATTGGCTGTGTGACTTTGCATTTGCTGTAGATATATTTTCACATTTGAATGAGCTAAATGTGAAGCCACAGGGAAAAGATCAGTATGTACATGACATGTACACTAATGTGAAAGCCTTTAAATCGAAGCTGATTTTCTTTTCCAGACAAATTTCAGACAAAGTCTTCACTCATTTTGCCACACTAGCCACACAGAAGGAGACCATCCAAAACGTGAAGAAATACAGCAAGTCACTGGATGACCTGCATGCAGAATTCTGTCATCGGTTTTCTGATGTTGAAAAAATTGACCAGTCACTTCAACTGGTGGCCTGTCCTTTGTCACAAAACCCTGAAACAGCACCAGAAGAGGTGCAACTGGAACTCATCGATCTTCAGTCTGACTTTGTCCTAAAGGAGAAATTCAGCTCTCTTGAACTAAGAGACTTTTATGCTTCACTTAATGAAGCCACTTTTCCAAACATCTGGAGGATGGCACAGAAGATACTGGTGCTGTTTGGGTCCACCCATGTTTGTGAGCAGACATTCAGCATCATGAACATCAACAAAGCCCCTCACAGATCCAGCTTAACTGACGAACGCCTCAGGTCTATCCTGAGAATAGCCACAACAAAACTAACTCCAGACTTTGATGCGTTAGCTAAAAAAGGATACCAACAACACTGTTCCCACTGAAGTTGATGTTTTAAAGACCAAAAACCTTTCAACCCAGTCTACATTTCCATCTACATCTACGTCCCGGGCATAATTTGGAAGTTGCACTAAAGAAAATCTTTAATTTACTGTTTACACATTTTGTTCTTTTCTATTTGTTTTAGTTTTAAATTATTTTATTGTATTTAAGTTTAATTTGAAAGGCTTTTGTACCTTTCCTTTGTTAGGCAATTTTATTTTGCCTTTGCCATCTTCAATATAAGGTATGTTATTGTGCTATGATTCCTCCATTTTTTGAAGTTTCAAATTATAATAATTAGTGTTTACATTTTCTTGTTAAAATGTTTGAAATGAATAAAACTATTGAAATAATAAAAAAAAAGACCGTACCCTTTTATGTAATGATGTTTACTTTGAGTTTATATTAGTTCACACAAACACTCCATCCATGCTTTTGTTCCGGCCCTCCGGTCCAGTTTAAGAACCCATTGTGTCCCTCGAGTCAAAAAGTTTGCCCACCCCTGCTCTAACCTGTGTGGTTGAGCTCACCTGCACCCACAATTGAAGCAGCCCCCCATAGCCTGCTCCTCTCGGGTTTCCTTTTCCAGCTTCTGTTCGTCAGATTTTAATCTTTCACGTCTATTGGCCGAGTTGCTGGTCAAACTGCTAGTTCTGTTCCGGGGTCTTCCTTCCCAGGTCCAGCAGGACTGTATTTGTGCAGGTCTCACTTCCCAACTGGACCTTCAGCACAGAGCTCCATGCCCCTACCTCGTCCTGCTCCTGCCTCCTCCTTAGAATGAGTGCCATTAGATGTGCAGCGTTGCAGACAGAGATGTGTGGTGGTCTTTTTCCAAGGAGCCAGATGGCTGCTTGCTGAGGCAGTCCACCCTAGACTAAGAAGACAAGAGGGTGTGCTTACAGGGGAGGCTCCAGTGCTGTGGCAGATTGCTCTGTGCTGCATCTGCCGGTCTGTGTTGCTGTGCATCATACTCTACACTCAGACTGGATTTTAAAGTGTATGCCCTGTGGGTGTGTGCATCCTACCATGTGTATAATGATGCAATGATTTCAAAAGTACTGACTCCTTCAGCATAAACACTACAGCTTGTTGAAAAGAAGGATCCCTGAGAGGAACTTGCTGCCACAGTTGTCAGGTGTTTGCAATAATGTTTTGTCTGTTTCATTTGTGCAGGTGAGCTCCCTTTCTGGACGCCGTGGTGAGGAAGTTTGACGATCTCTATGGAAAGGGAAGCGAAGGCAAAGAGTGTGACAACCTGTTCACCATCATTGCCCATTTGTATGACTTCCACCTGGTACAGTCTCTCCTCATATTAGTCATTTTGGAAAAACTTACAAGAAATTTCACAGAGAAAGATATGGAACTGATCCTATTAATGCTGAGAAATGTGGGCTTTTTGTTGAGAAAACATAATGTTTTGTCACTTTAAATGATCACAGAGACCCAGGCCAAAGCCAGCAGGGCAGGCGGCAAGTTCCAGGACAAGACAAGGTACGATGGGCCACTCGACCTGCCTCCTAAGTGCCTAAATCCTCAGAAGCTGACCCGCACATAGAAATAAAGGGTAAATGCTATGTTTCATTTGCTAGTAATCTGTTATCTTCTGCTTCTGTGATTTGATTTTTTAAAAAATATATTTTATTGATTTTTTACAGAGAGGAAGGGAGAGAGATAGAGAGTTAGAAACATCAATGAGAGAGAAACATCGATCAGCCGCCTCCTGCACATCTCCTACTGGGGATGTGCCCACAACCCAGGTACATGCCCTTGACCGGAATCGAACCTGGGACCTTTCAGTCCGCAGGCTGACGCTCTATCCACTGAGCCAAACCAGTTTCGGCAGATTTTTTAATCTTTAAAACTAGAGACCCAGTGCACAGATTCGGCTCACCGACATTCCCTGAGGCAGTGGTCAGCAAACTCATTAGTCAACAGAGCCAAATATCAACAGTACAACGATTGAAATTTCTTTTGAGAGCCAAATTTTTTAAACTTAAACTATATAGGTAGGTAGATTCAACTTTAAATTCAATGTTTTCATCTTCCATTTTTCTTTGCTGCTTCTTTGTAGCCATCTCAAACAGGGCACCTAAAAAAATGTTTCATTTTATAATAATAAAGCCACCAACACAAAAGAATTACAATTCTTAAATTGTTGACAAAAATACCTGTAGGGCCGAAACCGGTTTGGCTCAGTGGATAGAGCGTCGGCCTGTGGACTGAAAGGTCCTAGGTTCGATTCCGGTCAAGGGCATGTACCTGGGTTGTGGGCACATCCCCAGTAGTGGGTGTGCAGGAGGCAGCTGATCGATGTTTCTCTCTCATCGATGTTTCTAACTATCTCTCTCCCTTCCTCTCTGTAAAAAATCAATAAAATATATATAAAAAAATACCTGTAGGATTTGCAGCTGGTTGGAAAAATACAGGTAACTTTATGCTTCGAGTAGGTACTTTTGTCACTCGCGCGTGATTTGCGGATGCAACTAGCACTAACTACTGCACAATGAGACTGCTGACTGACTGGCTCACTCAACTCGTGCATGAATCCCCTGCACTGCATATCCCGCGGCCCGCTTGCGCTGAGTCTCCCGTCACCCGACTGACCGACACCCCCAACTTCTTCTAACGCCACTTCTTCAAAATAGACTCGCCCAGGCCGAAAAACGACTTCTGCGCATGGGCCACGAAGTTTCAATAGCACTGTACGTGCGTGCGCACGTGGTATTTTGTGGAAGAGCCACACTCAAGGGGCCAAAGAGCTGCATGTGGCTCGCGAGCTGCAGTTTGCTGACCACTGCCCTGAGGGGTCCTAGATTGTGAGAGGGCGCAAGCCAGGCTGAGGGACCTCACCGGTGCATGATCGAGGCTGGGAGGGGACCGTGGGAGGGCACCAGGGCATGTCTGGTCCATCTCGCCTAGTCCCGATCAGCAGGACCCTAGCAGCAAACTAACCTACCAGTCAGAGCATCTGCCCCCTGGTAGTCAGTGCACATCATAGCGACTGGTTAAGTGGTCGAACGGTTGGAGAGACAATTAGCATATCAGACTTTAATTACATAGACTAGAGGCCTGGTGCAGGGGGATTGTGCACTGATTAGGGGCATGGCCTGCAGAGATCAGTCTGCTGTGGAAGCACCGCTCATCCTGGTCAGCCTAGCGGCGCTCCCACTGTGGGAGCACACTGACCACCGGGCAGCAGCTCCTACATTGAGTGTCTGCCCCCTAGTGGTCAATGCGTGTCATAGTTACTGGTTGACCTGTCGTCATTCTGGTCGTTCCACAGTTCAGTCGCTGGGCTTTTATTATATAGGATGTGAACAAGCCTTTTTTCATTATTAAGAAACAGGATAGTTCTTGAGTTTAAGAACTGATTTATTTAACACTCATGTATTCAAAAATTATTTACTGAGGAAGGCCATTTGGCTTGGGGCTCAGGTGTCAGCACACCTGGACTTCCGGCTCAGCCAGTGGACAGCCCTGTACCTGAGTCTTCCAAGCCTCAGTTTCCCCTCTAGAAAGCAGAGCTGAGCATGGCTCCTACCTTGTTTTCTTTTCTGCAGGTCAGAGTAGGGGAGGACAGGGAGGCCCCAGAATGTGTGAGGAGCAGGAGAAGGGTTTGTGTGGGGCCCACAGAGGAGCAGGCAGAGGCCATTGCAAGAATTTGGGCTTTTATCCTAAAGGCACCAGAGGGTTCTGAGTGGGAAAATGGCAAAGGAAGTTTTCATGCTAATGGTCCCTTTGGCTACAACGTAGAAGACGGAGGTGGTCAGGCAGGGAGATGGAGCCAGTGGTGGGAGGATTAGCTCAGTTGCAGTGGGTGTGGCAGTGAGGACTGACGAGGTGGGTGAGGCGGGCAAGGGAAGGCCAGGGTGAGCCCACATTCTCAGCTTGGGCCTTCGGTGGACAGCAGTACATGCAGATGACCCACACTCAAAAGGGAAGATGGGCTCTTTTCTGAAATCCCGTGATATTCACTGGGAGGAGTTGTGGTCTGAGCCCCTGAGGAGGTCCTGAGGCCCTGAGGTGGGAAGCCTCAGGGTTAGAAACACGGACATTCAGACATTTGAGAGGAAGAGCGGGAGGAAGGTCACTGGAGACAGGCCACAGTGGTCCAGAGAAGCGTCCTTGTATTGAATGCCCAGAGGTCTGGTTTAAAACAGAGAAGTCGGCCTGGCCAACATGGCTCAGTGGTTGAGCCTGGATCTATGAACCAGGAGGTCGTGGTTTGATTCCCAGTCAGGGTACATGCCCGGTTGCAGGCTCCATCCCCAGTGTGGGGCGTGCAAGAGACAGTGAGCAATTATTCTCTCCCATCATTGATGTTTCTCTCCTTCCTCTTTCCTCTCTGAAATCAAAAATATGTATATGTATGTGTGTGTGTGTATAATATATATATATATATATATATATATATATATATATATATATATTGTTTGTTTGTTTTGTTTTGTTTTAATCCTCACCCAAGTATATTTTTCTATTGACTTTTTAGAGAGAGTGGAAGAGAAAGGGAAAGACAGAGAGAAACATCAGTGTGAGAGACACACATCGATTGGTTGCCTGTTGCACATGCCCTGACCTGGGCCTGGGCCAGGGAGGAGACTGCAACCTAGGTACCCCCTTGACTGGAATTGGACCCAGGACCTTTCAGTCCACAGGCTGACACTCTATCCACCGAGCCAAACCGGCTAGCTAGGGCAATAAAAATATGTTTTTCAAAATAAATAAATTAAAAAAACAAGTCAGCAGACACTGGAAGTACACTCCTTGTTGCCTAGGGCTGGTGGGTTGTGGGAATCAGGGCATGGCTTTTAATATGTGTTTGGAGCTTCTTTTTGGTGAGCTATGAAAACGTTCTAAAATTGTGGAGATGGAGGCACAACCTTAAATATACTCAGTGTACATTTTGAATGGGTGTTTGGTGGTTCATGAATTATATCATTTAAAAGTCAACATTTGGAGAAATCTCAGAAAGGGGTATGTGGGAAGTCTCTGTACTATTCTTGCAACTTTTCTCTTAATATGACATTATTTTAGATTAAAAGTTAAAGAAATGAAAAGGTCAGGAGTGGGGGAAGGAATGGCAACTCTTGTGGGAGGAGGGGTGACTCAGAGCACAGGGTCAGGAGGGAGGAGCGCAAGTGGGGGGATCAGTGGGAGGAGTCGGGGATGCGGGGAGCAGGAGAGGAAAAGTGGGAGATCTGTGGGTAGTGGTCAAGGATCC